TTTGGAAGGTAAATTTAAAATGCTATATGGACGTAGTCACGATTTTTGTGGAGATCCTCATTTGGATTCCATAGGTATTTTAAAAACTGCCTTCCATCATCAGAAATCACTATCCACTAGATAAAAAAAACAGACCCGCTCGTTTACTAGGTGACTCGCCTGGCGTGCTAGTGTGGCCGTTTTCGTATGTTACACACTGTTGATTTTCTTGGGTGTTACCAAGCGACTCGCCTTGTCACTAGTCACCTAGCTTGTTACCTCCGGTATGGCCTTTGCCTAAAGCCATATACCTGTCTACTTTCTTCTCATTACATCTGTAGTGGGAATCTGTTAGGTGTCACTACCGGTTCTGGAATGATCTCGCCCGCCACTCTGCAGCGAATCATAGCAGAGCCTGTGCGTATATAAGCAGGACACTGCCCCATTGACTTCAGACTCATCGGAGACTCGTCTACTCGACGTGATCTCACCAATACCCTGAAATTCGTCAACCCGACGAGACCTCTCCAATCACTAATCGACAACGACAGCAGACTCGTTTCTTCGACGAGTTCTCGCTTATCACTAATGAAGCACCTACGACGATGGCAAGGGTACTCTCAGCGTTAGCCTCGAACTCGCCTTCTAAACATCGCCGACTTGGCTACAGTCAAACCGCTGCACTCGGCCAACTGCTGCACCAGAGTCCCTTTAACTGATGTAGAGTCAGCCGACTCACGGCCCCGGACCTCAGCCAACTGCTCTCTCTACAAACAGGCCCACATACTCGGTCCCGGCCTCGATGCATCGTCTCAACGCTACGCTTCCAAACAGCACCGGCTCTTGTCAGGGCCACCAAAAATCTCCCAGTCACTAAACGTCTGACAGTTTTTGTTAAGAGAGTTCAAATATAAAATTCATAATTATTTGAGATTGTTAGTGAGAGTTCTCCGTGCGGTATACTGAGGGATTTATCAATTTGGTCTTTTTTGGTTAGGTTTGAAACACAAACCCTCCGCTGAAGACCAAACAGTGATGATAAGTGATACGGGTTCATTTTGTTGTCGTATGGCTTAGGAATCAAAACCTTTTACGTTCTTGGCTTGGAATTCATAAGTACATCATTTGCTCTAGAAATATGGTATATTACCTGGCTTAGGAAACGAAAACCTATTGGTCTGTAGCTGTTTTATGCCATCTTGACTTGTACCTGAGTTAAGCATCATAAATTCATGGACCTGTAGCTGATAAAGTTTTACTTTTTACCTTTATGAGGTTGTAGCTTTTATTGTCGTCTCTTCTTTGACCTTCCCGAAGATGATAAACTTATGGATCCGTGGCAGCTGATGTCTTACCTTTCTTTACCTGGCTGAAGAATTATAAACTTATGGATTTGTAGCTCCGGACGTCCTGCCTTTTACCTGCTTAAAAATTACAAACTTGCGGACTTGTAGCAGTTGACGGCGTCTCGCCTTATACTTGTAGGAATCATAAATTTATGGGACAAGTATCGGCTGAAATCTTTTAGCATTGGAATCAAAAAGCTGTTGGCGTGTAGTTGTTGAGCCATCTCCTGGTAACAGTATCAGGAAATTATGGGTCCGTAGTTGCTAATTTCATCTCTTTTTACCAGACTTAAGAATTACACACCTACTGTCTTGTAGCTGTTGACGGCGACTCGCCTTGTACTTGTAGGCATCATACATTTATGGGCTCCTTAGTTGTCTCCTTTTATGTTTCTGAAAATCATAATCATGCAAGCATGTTTGAGTTTGGATTGAAGAGAAAAAGAACTCTCTTCTTTGAAGGTGATGAAATTGTAGGATTCTATATTTAATAAGGAAGGAGCCCAGAAAGTTGAACTGGTTGTGTTATTTTTCCTGGCACATGGAAATTGTTTCTTGCTTGGTGGAAAATTTGCTTTGAAAGGGCGTTCAAGGTCGAACTTATTTGTTGGCCCCTCGTGGAAAATATCGCCCATGTTTAATCAATGTTGGTACAGCCTATTTTATTAGTGTGAAATTCGAGAATTTGGATTGATTCTTCATTAAGGGCCCCCTCCGACGAGAGAGTAGATTGGTTTTACGCTCGGATGAAATTTTATCGTTTTGACGACCTCAATCTACTCCAACCGCTTCGTATCCCATCACAGCATTCCCCATCATTGGATCTCCAACGGCCCCGTCCTAGGTGATTTAAGACGACCGACGGCCTCAGCCGCCCCATCCAATCGTAACTGGATGAAATCAAAATTTCTCTTTTGGATATAATAACCTCCAGACTCGTTTAAATGGGCTCTTCAACGCCTTTTGTCGAACACAATTTCCTCTGGCTCTTGGCTTATTTTACAGCTGGGTATGGTGAGAGTCGATTTGAGACCACTAGTCACTAGTCGTACGTTACAGAGTCCCGTTCTAATTTTGTTCCTCGCAAACTTCCCAAGTCTGTAACAGTCACTAAACGCAATAACGCAATACGGCCAATGATGGAGATTTGTAGCCGGCTTGGGAATTGTACCGAATAAAACATTGTGTACTAAATTATCGTCCCCTCGGTAAGTTATGTGGCCTTAAGGGACATCTATTATAATAACAGTTTAAAGAAAAAAGAATTATCATAAGAACCTCCGAAACCTCTTTTACTAAACAGTATGGTACAAATTGACAATGAATATTTATTTCAAACAGCGCGATTACAGCATAAAGCCCACACTGAGCACAGCTTATTCTGTTTATTCACGCTTGTTTAGATGCCGGTTCGCGTGTATGTAATACTTATCTTCCGTAGCATTTATGCCAATATAATAATAAGTTTATTTATAAAATAACGAAATTACACAGGCAAAATGTTAAAATTAACCAAACAAAATTACACTTTCATGCCAACGAGCCAATAACAATTTACATTTTAATCTTACATATTTCAAAATGTTAAGACAAGTAATTAATTAATGCCATAATCGTAATATAAATAACTGTGAGGTCGCTTAAAATTTATTATCTAAACTAACTTAACTAATGTAGTATAAAAATGTCATAAAACCAGGTTCTATTATGTCCATCTTCACAGGTCAGACGCATTTTGAATTTTTCCATCCTCTAACGTTTGGTCATATTGTATTTTACTAGGCCTGGAAATCATAAATTTATGTACAGGCTTATGAATCATCAATTTATGGTGGTGATGGCGTCTGAACTTTGCCTGGCAAAAAATAAAACTTGATAGTCCATTGCTGATGTCTTCCCTTGTACCTCAATTAAGAATGATGCCTTTAACCTGGCTTAAAAAATACAAACTTATGATCTAGTTATGGATGGCGTCTCGCCTTGTACTCTGCTATGGGACTGTAACTGCCGAAGTTTCACCTTTTACCTGGCTTAAAAATGATAAACTTATGGTCTTGTAGCTGTTGGCAGTATCTTGCCTTATACCTGCTTAGGAGTCATAAACTTATGAGCTTGTGATATTTGTGATATCTTGACTTTAAATTGGCTTAAGAAATACCAACTTATGATCTTGTAGTTATGGGTGGCATCTCACATACTTGGCTTAAAAATGATAAACTTATGGTCTTGTAGCTGTTGGCAGTATCTTGCCATATACCTGGCTTAGGAGTCATAAACTTATGGGCTTGTGATGTTTGTGATATCTTGTCTTTAAATTATCATTTTAAAAATGATAAACTTATGGTCTTGTAGCTGTTGGCAGTATCTTGCCTTAAAGCTGGCTTAATCATAAACATATGGGCTTCTGATATTTGTCATGTCTTGTCTTTAACTTGCTTTAAAAATACCAACTTATGATATTGTTATGGACGGTGTCTCGTCTTGTACCTGGCTTAGCCATCATAAATTTATGGGACTTGCACTGCTGAAGTTTCGCCTTTTACCTAGCTTAAAAGTGATAAACTTATGGTCTCATAGCTAATGATGGTATCTCTCCTTTAGCTTTGCTTAAAAAATACTAACTTAAGATCTTGTAGATATGAGTGGCATCTTGCCTTGTACCTGGCTTAGTCATCATAAATTTATGGGACTTGCAACTGCTGAAGTTTCACCTCTTACCTAGCTCAGAAATCATCAGAACTTGAGGGGTTGTGATATTTGTTGCCGTCTTGCCTATGACCTGGCCTGGGGATAATGAACTTCTGAGAGTTGATGTCTCTCCTTTAACCTTGCTTCAAAATTATGGATGGTGTCTCACATCATAAATTTATGAGTTTGTGGCTGCTGAAGTTTCACCCTTTACCAGGCATAGTAATCAAAACCTTATTAGGCTGAAGCTAATATCGCCTTTTAGCTGGCTTAGGCATCATAAATTTATGTACCCTATAGGTGCTGATGTCTCACCTTTTACTAGACTTACAAACTCCAAATTTATGGTTTTGTATCTATTAATTGCTTTGTACCTGGCTTAGCTATTATAAAGACTATTTTTGTCGTCTTGTCTTGACCTGACCTGGGGATCATGAACTTATTGACCCATAGCTGGTGATGTCTCACCTTAACTTAGGAATCAAAAACCTATTGGCCTGTAGTTGTTGATTCCACCTTGACTTTTGTTCTGGCAAGTGAATCGATAAAATTATAGACCCTGTAGCTGTTCATGTCTCACCTTTTATGTAGCTTAAGAATTGCAAACATAAGGTAGTTTTGCCCAAAAGTACATGTATATGACATACAACAAAAAGTTAGGTAGGCAAACTGAAAGAACAACTGCTAACCACCGATGAGACGACAGAACAAAACAGCGAGGATAGACCAAAATGATCGGCAATGACCAAACTACAGATTATTACATACCGTAAACCTTATTTATCAAAATTCCATTTGGCAATTTGTGTGGCTAAAATTTGGTACTTATTTTCATAAATTGTGATTTTTTATCAACTCGACCTTTTATACCTTGTAGTGCTTTGTCAACTTGCTACCACTGCCATTTTATTGCTACTTTTAATAGGTCAACCAATAAAGATCAAGAGATATACTTCTGTCAAAAATTAATAATTTCATTTGTTCCAGGATCCTCATGCCAGTTATGACATCAATGACAATGATCCGATCCCCATGCCTAGGGACAACGGTGACAATAAGCACGGGACGAGATGCGCCGGCGAGGTTGCTTCTGTTGCTCACAATAACTACTGTGGTGTTGGCGTTGCTTTTAATTCAAGCATAGGCGGTGAGTATATTGAATTTAAACCTCAACAGTTTGAGATAGCATAGGATTTTTTAATTACATTTAATTATAATTAGGTGTGAGAATGCTTGATGGGAGTGTGAACGATGCCGTTGAGGCAAAAGCACTTTCGCTCAACCCAAACCACATTGACATCTACTCAGCTTCCTGGGGACCTGAGGATGATGGTAAAACAGTCGATGGTCCAGGACCCCTTGCAAGAAGAGCTTTTATCAATGGAGTTACAACAGTGAGTACGACTATATTTCAATAGAAATTTTGCAAAATTCTATGCTGATTGTTATGTTACTGACAACAGGGAAGAAATGGTAAAGGATCTATTTTCATTTGGGCGAGTGGAAACGGAGGAAGACACACTGACAATTGCAACTGCGATGGCTACACCAATAGTATTTTCACACTTTCAATTTCTAGCGCAACGCAAGGAGGGTAAGTTTATTATTTACATTTACCTAAGATCGTTTAACATGATTTTATTCTCTAATAACAAAAATTGTATTACTCTTCCAAAAAGTCAGTTTTTCTTCACTAATCCTTATGTAGTGTCAGAGTAACCAGCATAGATAGTTTTGCCTGCCTGAGGGTGGTAAACCAAACTTACACCTCTATCTGAGGTGGGAGCAATATTGCCCACTTATAACTCGGCCTGTGGTGGTAACAATGTTATTAAACTTACACCTCAGCATGAGGTGGTAGCAATCTTACTAAGCGTGCAACACTTTTTGAGGTTGTAGCAAGTTACCAACTTACACCTCTTTCTGAGGAGGTACCAATGTTGCCAAACTTACACCTCTACCTGTGGTAGTAGCAATGTCATCATCAATGTATTTAGGTAGTAGCAATCTTACTAAGCCTGCAGCACTTTTTGAGGTTGTAGCAAGTTACTAACTTACACCTCTTTCTGAGGAGGGAGCAATCTTACTAAGACTGCACCACTTTTTGAGGTTGTAGCAAGTTACCAACTTACAGCTCTGACTGAGGAGGTCCCAATGTTGCCAAACTTACTCCTTTACCTGAGGTGGGAGCAATCTTACTAAGCCTGCACCACTTTTTGAGGTTGTAGCCAGTTACCAACTTACACCTCTGACTGAGGAGGTACTAATGTTGCCAAACTACTCGTCTCCTTTAGGTGGTAGCAATGTAAATATAAAAATAATTAATTTTGTTTTTGCTTATATTTTAGATACAAGCCTTGGTATCTGGAAGAATGCTCTTCGACGCTTGCAGCTACCTACAGTTCAGGCACACCCGGACACGACAAAAGCATCGCTACTGTTGATATGGATGGCACCCTTAGATCTGATCATCTTTGTACTGTTGAGCATACAGGTAGAAAAAATTAACATTAAAGTGAATTAAATCATAACAGCTTTTACATTTGATTTTGTAATTTTAGGTACTTCAGCTTCTGCACCACTGGCTGCAGGGTTGTGCGCTCTCGCTCTTGAAGCCAACCCATCACTGACCTGGAGGGACATGCAGCACATTGTGATCATGACTGCAAACCCTAAACCGCTGACAAATGAAAACGGATGGACTTTGAATGGAATGAAGAGAAAGGGTAAATTCTTAATTTTGTTTAAAAAATGACTTTATTTAATCAATGTTGGGTATGCAGTGAGCCACAAATTTGGATTTGGACTGATGGATGGAGCTGCGATGGTAAGTCTTGCTGAAAATTGGATCACAGTCCCTCCACAACACATCTGTAAAACACAAGAAATCATCTCAGAGAGGTACGTTAGTGTCACTCTTTTGTAGAAAAGAAATATTAATTTGTATTATTTTAGGGAAATCTCGCCTCTATTTGGCAGTCTTTTAAAATCAGATATTAACGCTAATGGCTGTCCAGGGACAGTAAACGAAGTTCGCTATCTAGAACATGTACAGTGCAAAGTCACTCTCAGGTAATGACATTTTTTTCTGAAAATCTATAATTCAAATTAAACGTAAAAATGACTAAGACACAATAATGATTATTTGCAGATTTTTTCCTCGAGGTAATCTCAGAATAATACTGACATCTCCTTCGGGCACGTCATCAACTCTGTTAATGGAAAGACCGAGGGATGTCGACAACTCTAACTTTGACGAGTGGCCTTTCCTTTCGGTTCATTTCTGGGGTGAGAACCCTTACGGAAAATGGACGTTGCAGATTGCGAATACAGGAAATCGTAAAGTCAATAGAGCAGGTAAGATAATTATAATTAATTTTTTACATTAATGGAATTAATAAATTATTTGGTTTATCAGTTATATAAAACCACAATTCTTGATCAATTATTTTTATTAATTTTAATGTGTTTATATAACATAGGCTTCCTGAAAAAGTGGCAACTGGTATTTTATGGTACGGCTCAGCCTCCATACAATGGTTTTCCAGGGGAGAAAGCTGATCCTCCGTACTCTCCGATTCCTTCAGCACACCCGGCATTCGTTTCAGAAATATTTTCCAGCTTCCCTTCTTTCCAAACATTACCTAATATTTTCTCAGTCGCCGGATCTGAAAAGACGGTATGTCTTTTAATAAAAACCCAATGAAAAGGTTGGAATTTATTTTTTGCCATTTTTCATTTGCAGATGTCAAAAGTACCTTTGTCCGGAACGAGCGATTCTAACGAGTAAGTAATTTTATCATTATAAGCAATGCAGTCTTATTCAGTTTGTTTTTATTTTAAGGTTGGAAAGCTCAGGCTGCCATGAAAGCTGCGCCACTTGCGCAGGGACGACACAAGACAGCTGTCTGACTTGCTCCCCTGACCTTCTCTACGTCACTGACCTCGGCCTGTGTCTTCAGAGATGCCCAGATGGATACTATGAAGGTAAAAGAAAAAAAACCACCACTCTTATTCTTAAATCAGTATTTAATTTATATTTTAAACAGATACAGCTGGAAATCAGTGCATAAGTTGTCAAGGCAATTGTGCAAGCTGTCCCGATGGGCCGAACATCTGCTCGTCGTGTGACCACCATCTCATCCTCCACAACAGCACCTGTGTCGCCTCTTGCCCAAAATATACTTATGAAACAGATGATTACAGGTAAAATTTATATTATTGTTTTTACATGCATCATTTTTAAAACCAAGATTATATCTTTAATTTACTTTTGTAGTAAAGATCTGGATTTATCGGATTTTGAAGTGGATTTTGTGTCAAATGAAAGTTAATTTATTTGAGATTATCTTCCTGCAGTATTTATTTTTTATATGGTATGCCTTTTAGATTTAGTAAGAAATGAAGTTTTAGGGCATACAGTTATGATTCTATAAAACCTCATTAAAAAATTTAAGTCTTTTTTTATTACTCACTTACAAATCTACTACATTGGTTGACTTATTTGGCATCCCTTTTGCGTTTTGAAATTTTATTTTCCAAAAATTGTCTTCAGTTTGATCTCTAGCCAACGTTCGGCTAATAATAAAACTTATTACTCTACTCATATAGTAAATTTGTTACGAATTTTAGATGCAATCCTTGCCACTCGTCTTGCGGGACGTGCAAGCAAGGTGGAGCCTCAGGATGCGTAACATGCCTTGACGATTCACCCGCTTCAGTGAACGGACACTGCCCGCTCCCTGGGACTAGGTGCTCGACGCCCCATTGTGTGACGTGCTTGAGCGGTGTATGCAGTGAATGTGCTGCTGGCTACCTACTCAACAATGCCCATCATTGCTACCCTGATCCTAAAGCAGGGTGCAAACCAGGTGAGAACACAGAAAATAATTATATTAGAAAATACAATAATTCTTCAGTTTTAACTAAGACTATAAGTAGATTTAAGCAGTTCAAAAGCTAAAATATTTATTTATTTTATAAGGTGAATACAAAACAGAAAAAGGATGCAAGCCTTGTGTAGATTTCACAAACTGTACAAGGTGTCCTCCCGAGCTTAACATTCTAAACAACACTTGTGTCGTATCTTGTGGCTTAGGGTATGTTTTTATGTTAAACAGATTTATGATTTCTTGTTACAACTTTTACAACATAATGTTGCTTTTTAGGTATTTCACTGATAGTGGCTGGTGCCAAAAGTGTGCAAAGAATTGCGCCGAGTGCCAGGGCGACCAGGCAGACCAGTGTCTCTCGTGTGATAGCGGTTATAAAGTCACTCCAACCGGCACTTGTGTCCAGGACTGCCCTTCAGACACGTACACTACCAATTGGGGATGCATCAAGTGCCATCATTTCTGTTCATCTTGTTCAGGTATGAAATTTAAAAAAATTACACACATATTTTTTCCACTTCATGGAAAAACATTGAATTATGAATATGTAGCCTAGCCCATACTTAAAACTAACCTTACCTAACCTAACATGTTCTTAACAGTAACCATACATAACCCTAATCTAACCCATTACTAACCTGTACCTAACACCAAACCTAATCCTAACACCTAACATGTCACTAACCATATCTAACCTAATCCTGTCCCTACCTTCCCTAACACTAACTATGCCTAAAATCCTGCCCCTACTTTACCTAACCTAACATGACCCCTACTCCTACCCATAACTAACTTGAACCTAACACTATCCATATCTAAAATTCTGTCCCTACATTACCTAACCAAACAGGACCTAACACCAACCCTACTCTTAACTTACCTAACTTGTCCTAACACATCTTAATCATGTTTAACCTAATACTATCCTTACCATACCTCACCAAATTGGTCGCTAACACCCTGACCATACCTAACTTACCCTAACCTAATTATAACCCTAACCATACCTAACGTAATCTTAGCTCTACCTTACCTTACCTAACCCATCCCTAGCACTAACTATACCTAAAATCCTGTTCCTGCCTTACCTAACCATACCTAAAATCCTGTTCCTGCAACACCAACCCTATTCCTAACCTTTCCTAACTTGTCCTAACACTAACTATACCTAAAATCCTATCCCTAATTTATCTAACCTAACTTGTCCCTATCACTAACCGTACCTAAAATCCTGTCACTACCTTACCTAGCCTAACTACCTTACCTGACTTGTCCCTAACACTAACCCTGACTATACCTAACCTAATCCTATCCCTAGCTTACCTAATGTGTCCCTAACACTAACCGTACCTAAAATCCTATCCCCAACTTACCTAATCCCACACCAACCCTATTCCTAACTTTACCTAACTTGTCCTAACAATAATCGTAATTATACCTAACCTAATACTATCCCTCCCTTACCTCACCAAATCTGTCGCTGACACCCTGACCATACCTATCCTAGCCTAACCTAATGATAACATTAACCATACCTAACCTAACATAACCTGTATAGAAATTATGAAGATGGAGTGAGTTTTGGTATGAATCTTCCCAAACATAGTTCTTACTCACAGTTTGTTGTTTTCAACTATCCAGATTGAGTTAAATGCTCATCAGGTTGAAAGAGTTGCAAACACATCACTCGACATGAATTGTAAGAGTTAAAGAACTTGCCTTAATCAAATAAATTTTTTGTATTTAAAGACCAACTAAACGAAACAAAATGCAATTTCAATTGAAATACAACAGTACTCAAATAATATTTAACATACAAATTAATCACAAATTTAAAATTATTTTCTTACAGAATTTATTAGGATAATATTTAGTTTTGTTGTAATTCACACTTTTACACTTTCAAAATTGAGCAAAATTAAAAATCAGCGATGGTGAGCTTTTAATGCTTGAAACCTGGATTGTTGAAAACAACAAACTGTGAGTAAGAACAATATTTTGGAAAGATAACATAGCTTAATCCATGCGCACTCCCTGGTAATAAGAAATTGACGATTATATCCAATAATCTAAAAATTTAATTTTTTGTTTTTTGTAATTAGGAGAAGGCCCGTATGCTTGCACCTCCTGCATACCCGGAAGGTATTTAGACGCAGCATCTAAACTGTGCATGCCCTGCACTCCTTGCAATTCAACACATAAGCATCAATGCTGCCATTGTGATCCTGTCACAGGTATAATTTAATTTTTTTTAAACTTAGTAATGGTTTAAAACGGTGTGATTTTTGCAGGAAAGTGCCATTTGCCAGCAGGGAAAAGGCGTATAACATCCGAACAGGCCGAAAGGGCTCATCAAGACGAGCTAATAGCCGAAGCGTCAATGACTGACTTTACGAGAGAAAATCCGTCTCAGTTCACAAATGTGACTTTGATCGCGGTCGCATCCTGCGCTTCAGTAGTCGTACTGTTCGGTGTAATCTTTGCAATACTACAGGTAACTTCTTTTCACCATTGATGGCAATAATTAAAGAAAAATTTAGGGAAAAATTTTTATCAATTTTTTTCTCCTCCCGTGTAGGTAATTGAAGACGATAACAAATATTCTAAAGAAGATTGTAAAGTTGAAAATAAATTTGATATTACTGGTGTGAAGTTGGGATTTTTAATTATTAATTTGTATGATTTTATTGATACAATTTAACATTTTACTAAGATTTTTTTTAAGTTTGTGTCTAGATCTTTTTATTGTAAGTCCGTATTATTCAAAAATCTTCATATCAACTTTCACAACAAATCACACAATAATTTATTTTATTTTACGATAAATAATCTTTTGTGACAGATGCAGTCGTTGAGATGGGAAAGGCGAGGCGGATACACCAAAGTTCCTATCCAAGACATGAAATTTTCATCATTCGGCGAGCCTAAGATGAAAAACAGCAAGATCCAGTTCCGTCAGCAGGAACTGATGGAGTACCTTGACGACGAAGACGATGAACACGTGATCCACTCGACCAAATCCTAGTCCCAGAACGCCCTTCACCCTCGACTCACGAACAACACCACTGAAAAGAAACGACCCACCCCACTGTAAATTTTCCCCGTATTCAAATTCAACGCCCAATTTTTTTTTTTAACCATTGAGAACAAATGAAAAGCAAAGTGCCTATCAGTTTTTCAAACGCCACGGGGCAAGTGGCTGTTTCTTTTCTTATTTTTTTTATATATTTTTTAATTTAAAATTATTTGATAATTACTTTAGATAACTTATAATGAGTTAAGTCCAGCGGCTTGAAACTAGTTTCTTGTGATGCAGAGGTTTAATATGCATGTCGGGGTACATCCCCAAAGTCTATTTTGGTAAGGTTACCCTTCTTTTTCTTTTATTTTTGTTTTCTTTTTGAAAAACTAATTTAACAAAATATTCTAGTTTAGAATTTAATATTTAGCTTTTCTTATTTTGTTTCCAAACGTTCTAAGACAGCTTATTTTTGTTCTATGTAAAGTTTTTGTCATTCTTTTCTATGTAGTTTTTTAATATTAATTAGAACAAATATTGTCTGAAGAAAGAACAAATAGGCACTAAAAATCTAGACTCTCTTTATACTTCTTAGACAATAAGAATACTAAGATAACAAGTGAGAGTTAATAAAAAAAAAGAAGTTTATATAAAACTTCATAAAAAAAAATTAAAACAGAACATTCCCATAAATAATTTATGATTTATTTTGGTTCAATATATTTATTTTGTATTTAACAGTTATTCAACAAAAAAATTTTACCCAAAGTATTAGGTGTGTAAAAAGATCAACAAAACAAAATATCAAATTACTTTTTACTTATTTATATTTTCATTTTTTTTTTTTTTTTAAATTAGATATTTTAATGTAAAGATTCATATTTAATCGTATTTATTTCAACTAAATAATAATTCAATGCTGTACACTGAGCCAGAAAGGAAATTCGGGCTGTCCCATGGTTTCCTTTTTATATATATGTTAAAACGAATCACTTCTGACTTATTATATCTGTATATAAACAATGTATTTTATGTATCAACCAAGAATTTAAATGTTTATAAATAATATAAGTAAAATAATATATTTTATGTGATTGCATTGGGTGATATCTTGTAAATATAGTTTCAATGAAGGAATAAAAGCATTTGTAAAAATCCTACATGTCTCAATTAATTCCTAACCTAACAGGAACTCGACACATTCTGATAAAGTGGCCTAAAGCTGTTTTTGTGCAAAAAAATCACTCAAGGAACTAAATGCGAGAATTACTCAAGAAACATGTCAGGTTAACCATTAACACAAGGTGAGCCATCAGTTTGCACGAGACAAGCATGATGTTTATAACTACGCCAACTGTTCATCAGAGTTTGCTATCATGACGATACTTTTTGTCCCATTTTTCCTTCCTCATATCCTCTCCCTTGTTATTATGAAGAGTTTCATGTTTAGCATCCCACAAAAATCAGTAGATAGATAACATGCTTTATTTACATTAAAGAGAAGCATAATATACAATAATAAAAGCATTTTACAGCATGGATGGTTATCCGTCTGCCTGAATTTGGCTGTTCTTTTTCAGGCGTGCGAAAAAGAAAAACTAAAAATAAACTATATAATAATAGTAATAATAGAAAACTATAAGTAAAACTAAATTATAAAAACTAGCTGATTTTAGGTACAAGTTAAACAATTATAACTCGGTATTGTATTCGAACCTATATTGCCAGGCATGGCGTGTATATTGTGCTAGACCTTTCGACCTCTCAATATCCATGATATTTAACAGATCAAGCAACTGAAACCTGGAAAGCGATTTATACCCTAGATACAGGATACAGAGCTCTGACAGTATGGGACATTGGGCAACAAAATGAGAGATCTTCCCTAGCTCTTAGGTTACACAAAAATTTCCATCATCTTCCTTCCATGGCACCGAATTGAAGAACACTTGCATCTGTGTTTAAGAAGCCATCGAAGAGTCGGAAGTTTCATAGAACCACTAGCTTGAACGTTTAGGTTAAAAGTTGCCTTAGAGTGGTCTAGTACCTTAAAAATAAGATATCTGTTTGAGACCTGAGCTTGATGCTCACAACTCACATTATGTTGATCACGTCTGCACAAAAGTTCCACGGTATAATTGGGGCAACTGGAGAGGTTTTCTAAACAAAAAGAAAAACTGCAATCATATTGAAAAGCTAATGTATTCCATTGCCGAAACCAAGAACCATTAGATTTAATAACCTCGAGAGCAGTAATTTTGGACATTCGGGCAACAGGGCCCTTAAGTACCCTTAAAACAAATGAGAAATGCAAGGAAAGCGTAAAAAGGAAAATTGTATTCACTGCCGTCTCCATATAAAGCATATAGTTTGGAGTAGAATTAGGCAATGAGATCTTCCTAATAAAAAAAACGTACTCTTTCTATCAGTTCATAATGCTGGAACCCACACCTGGCCTGCATAACATAAAATAGAAAAAAATCAGTAGCTGTAATATATTTGGATAAGTTGAAATCCTCCTGGTTTATTCTCACATTCAAGACAAGTGTGCTACTTGGAGAGAAACAAACAACGTGAAACACTGATGCACACTAAAAAAATTGACAGCTGATTGGCTGATACATCTTCACGCCAAAAGGTATACACAACGCAAAACAGCGCCGCGAGTAATTTTCATGCAGTGGAAATCCAGCTTAAGATGATGACATAAGTCTAGGTACCAATCATATCAGCCTTCTGGCTTATTTTATTTTTCTTTGTTCCTTAGTTTAAGTAGCTCAAATTGTGTCACCTAGTTGAAGGATGCAATTCATTGGCTCTATATAGTGAGCATGTAGGAACTATATGAGAATTATGGGTTCCCTGTTCCTAATTTTTAGAAACTATTGAGTGAATATATTTATTGACATGAATGTTTGTGTTGGAAGGCTAAAGACAGAATATGAGTACTATCAGATTATTTATATAATGTGCAAAGGGTAATGGAGACATCAAGAAATGAATATGAAAAATTTTAAATCGGTTTGACCCTTCGTCTGTGACACCCAATGGGAAATTTGACATTAAGCCCCTCTATATGACAGGAATTACTTTACTTTTATACATATTTATGCATGAAGTTCAAGGTTTCCAGCCCATTAAGCCATTGAAAAAAATCCGTAAAAATTAAATTATTGTATCAATTCACTGCATCCTCTGGTGTCCTCCAAGGATCACAGGCTTACAACTAAGCTCTTTAGAAAGTATTCAGTTCCAGCTATTCACAGTTAATCTTAAGGTTTATAAAACTATCTTTTGTTAGTTAGTGTTGTTGTTGTGTTGTGATACTTACAACATTTGGGATTCTTTACTCCTGGAAGTCCTGGACCAAATTATATCTTAACATTTCCAAAAATAAGTCTTCTTACTATCAATATATTGTAAACCAACTCCATTGGTGTCTAGAACTCCTCATTTACCTTTTCACTCGATCCCAAAGTTCTTTTACAGGACACCCGGGGCTATCCTTCAGCCCGTGCTTTTCCTTTCCTAGTTGTAGGAATCTCAGCGTAAATAAGCACACCAATAGAAAACATGTTTCGCTTTCTTCTACAAAGTCTTGTTTTTGTCATCCCGAGTCCAATTATTATTCTAGTCCTAACACATTGTAGAAGTAGTAGTTCTGCCGATAGTTTCTGCGATGATCCCTTGATGAAATTTCTTGCATGCCTCTGTCCTGAGCTCCATTAAAGGGAGAACGTATTTTTAATACATTGTCTGAAGGAGAATTTGATATGTCACAAGTACACAAATTTTCCATGTCCAATTTATCGGCCTGGGAGCCATGGTTGGACCTAAGTGGTTAAGGCGTCAGACTCTCAGCTAGGATATCCCTGAGTTGTGGGTTCGATTCCCACTGTTGCCTCTAGATTTTTCCGACACTTAAGTGGACCAATGACTATGAAAATTAACACGACATGAGAGGTCTGGGGCAGGATCAGATCTCAGCAACCCTGAGTTTTGTCCAACACTCTTCAAAAATGAATTTCTTCAATGGAAAAACAATTCACACATGTGAGCTCCCAAAAAAGGAGCCAGGAAGGAGTACAATAAGCTCTATAGAACTGCGGTGCTTGGGAAACTCGTTCCTGGCACCCACCACAAAAACAATCTTTGTTGCCCCACTGCCCTGTGAGTGCTGGTACAATAATGCCCTACAGGGCCCTAATAGTCCCATCCCAAACTACTGTGGACTTACTTACATTGTGGTGATTGCCCTCATTGACGCTTGGCTGGCAGTAGATGGCTATTCTTCTATTAATGATATCTAGCTTTTTAATTTCCCAGTCATCTTGTTCAAAAAGGAACAGTCTCCATTTGGAAGAGTGTGGCATATTGTTCAAGACACTTATATGAATTCTAGTCCTTGCTATTTCTGTAAATATCAGATCCTGACCCATACGTATATCAAATATGGTCAGTATTAACTTGGATCCAATTCCTTCAATATATTATCTTCCTTATTTAAATTTGTAATTCCTTCAACACCTCAACTATACAAGATTCTTCATTGCACAATTCCTAAGAATATTTGCCTCCAATGTAATAATCACATTACAGCATATATAAAGAGCGTTGAAAATATTCAAAATAAATTTTGTAAGTACATCCATTGTAAATGTGGCAACAGTCAAACATATTTTCAATATTGAATCAGTATGAAAGACTTAAATTTATCATCGCTTGATTCCAGAAAAAAATGTATATTATTATAAAAATTAATCAACTATACTACAGACTGCTCTACTTTACTTCCTAATATATAATTTCATAATTTGCCAGTTGCTACCAGAAATCTTTTTGATATTACTTGGGCACTTTCGGCATACTATCTAAACTATACTCTTTTCTCAAGAACACATCCAGTCATATAAATTTTGATTTATAGTAACATATCTAAAGGGATATCCACACCTTCCACAGTACTGGAAGCCCTATCCTGGCAGAAAGAGATAAGCAAGACAAAGGGAAAGGATGGGCAATGAATTAGAAAACTTTTAATGGGTCGTACAAAGGAAAAAAGGAAAACAGGTTTAATAAATGCTGTCACTATTTGGCTTGTTTAAAATCAATATTTAAATAAAACTCTTTTTTTCTTTAAATTGTGGACTTTCTTATAAGGAAACCCCCCACATATCATACAACAAACAAGACAAGAATATATTAAAATGACTCATTTCTTCAATATGCTAATGACTGGGTACCTCCAGCTCTTGACATGCAAAGCAGGCAACAAACTCAAGTTTGAACTTATCAAATTACAATTGAATGTAAATTGTATTTAAGCCCAAAAATAAAAATGACAAAATATGATATAAATGACTTTGAATTTTTTTCAAATGGAATCTAAATTGTATTCAAATGCAAACATAAAAAATACAAAAATATGACACAAATGATTAATTTGCTCAGTATGCTAATGACTGAGCATTGCTGTATGTAGCTCTTGTCTTGTGAAGCATGTCAGCAAAGTCATATTTGAAACATATCAAGTTACATGGCTGAAGTTTTTAAATTTAATGTAAATTGTATTAAGGCGCAAAAATAAAAAATATGATACAAATGACTCATTTGCTCAGTATGCTAATGATTAGGTATTGTTATACCTCCAGCTCTTGACTTGCAAAGCATGCCAATAAAGTCATGTTTGAAACTTATCAAGTTACAACACTGAACTTTTCAAATTTAATGTAAATTGTATTCAGGCTCAAAAATAAAAAAGACAAAATAAGATACAAATGACTCATTTGCTCAATATGCTAATGACTAGGTATTGCAATACCTCCAGTTCTTGGCTTGAAAATCATGTCAGAGTAAACTTTTTTTTTTTTTCAAATTGAATCTAAATTGTATTCAAATGCAAACATAGAAAATACAAAAATATGATACAAATGATTAATTTGCTCAGTATGCTAATGACTGAGTATTGCTGTATGTCTTGTGAAGCATGTCAGCAAAGTCATATTTGAAACTTATTAAGTTACAACGCTGAACTTTTCAAGTTTAATGTAAATTGTGTTCAGGCACAAAAATAAAAAAAGAGACAAAATATGATGTAAATGACTCATTTCCTCAGTATGCTAATGACTGGGTATTTCTATACCTCCAGCTCTTAGCGTGCAAGCATGCAAAGCCTGTCAACAAAGTCATGTTTGAACTTATCAAATTACAAAGTTGAACTTTTCAATTGAATGTAAATTGTATTCAAGCTCAAAAATAAAAAATACAAAATACAATACAAATGAGTCATTTGCTCAGTATGCTAATGACTGAGTATTGCTGTGTGTAGCTCTTGTCTTGTGAAGCATGTCAGCAAAGTCAGGTTTGAAACTTATCAAGTTACAAGGCTGAACTTTTTTAATTTAATGTAAATTGTATTCAAGCTCAAAAATAAAAAATATGATACAAATGACTCATTTGCTCAGTATGCTAATGATTAGGTACCTCCAGCTCTTAGCATGCAAGCATGCAAAGCCTGTCAACAAAGTCATGTTTGAACTTATCAAATTACAAAGTTGAACTTTTTGACTGAATGTAAATTGTATTCAAGCCCAAAAATAAAAAAGACAAAATATGATACAAATGACTCATTTGCTCAGTATGCTAATGATTAGGTATTGTTTTACCTCCAGCTCTTGACATGCAAAGCAGTCAACAAACTCAAGTTTGAACTTATCAAATTACAACGCTGAACTTTTCAAATTCAATGTAAATTGTATTTAGGCACAAAAATAAAAAAAGAGAAAATATGATGCAAACTCATTTCCTCAGTATGCTAATGACTGGGTATTGCTATTCCTTCAGCTCTTAAAGTGCAAACATGCAAAGCCTGCCAACAAAGTCACGTTTGAAACTTCTCAAGTTACAAGGCTGAACTTTTCTAATTGAATGTAAATTGTTTGTATTCAGGCGCAAATATTTTTTTTGTCTGCTCCCCTCAGATAACCGAGCGCAGCCTTCTCATTTCACGTTTCCTCTGTGCATAACTGTTTATTAAACAAACTCCATTCCAGGAAATTCGACAGGGATGAGATTGAATTTATTTTAAAATTTTTTAAACTAATTTCGATATATTTAAGACATCACCGTCTCCGGCAACATGTGGAAATGTCACAAATGCGGGAAACCTGTTTATTTCGGTGAGAAATTGTTCAAAATTACCCAGTTTCCGTATGACTGGTATTCAGCATCTTTTATACATTTTTTAAAAATATTTTAAATATTAATTCTTATTTTGTCTCGTTGCTTACAGCCGAGAGGAAGCAGTCCCTTGGGTACGACTGGCATCCGGAGTGCCTCCGCTGTGAGGAATGCGGTAAGAGGCTCAACCCTGGCCAACATGCAGAGGTAAAAAACCAAAATGTCAGATTATTCAATAAAAATAATAATACTTCATAAAATGCAAGTATAATTTAATTTTCATTCATCATGACAAGCCAATTTTTAAGTACTGCAGATTTGCTTCTGTCTAACTAGGATCAGTTTCCATCCGAATTTCAAACTACCAGTTCAGTTTCATGATTTCAATTAATCCATAAACTTTTAAATCTCATTTCATAAATAAAATCTTTAATTATTAGCCCAATTTGCTGATGAATGTTAGAGCCAATCATTTTGGATGAACTTGGATGCTTTGATGATTGGTCGTCGACCTCCATAGAAACAAGCAAATATTCTGTTACAAAAGCTTTTAAAAGGATGTTTTTATTCAATTTCGTATATTTATGAATTTCATTATAATTTTGGCTCATTTTTGAATTTCGTACAAGTCGTTTTGATATTGATTTATGTTTTTCAACAGCACAAAGGAGTGCCTTATTGCCACGTACCTTGCTATGGAGCTTTGTTCGGCCCACAGCTTTACGGACACGGTACGAGAGTGGAATCGCACACCAGCTTCGGGAAAGTTGAGAACAAATCAGCAGCAAAGAATATGCCTAGGTAAGGAATTAATAGATCTTCATCGTGTTTCTCTCAAACATTCTCTCAACTCGAACACCAGTAGTTGTTAAACTAAATCCAAACTGAAAGAGTTAAACTTTTAAACAATTTATAACGAAAGATATATTATTGTGTATATACCAAGGTATATACTATCCCTCTGTAAGCACTGTATGCTATTTAACTGTATTGCTGAGCGATACAAAGACATACAAGCTTAGTTATTATTTTTGTATGTGGAAAGTAAGTTTAAAATACAATAAAAAAGAGTGATAATATTCATACAAATTTATTTTTATACTTTTCGGACTGCCTAAAAATTTATGTAAACAAATAGGAATGGAACACACACACAAAAAACTCACTAACCAAAAACATATGAACACATCAAACAAACAATACAAGTCAGTCACAATTTTAGCTCTAGGGGTGCGCTTATATACACAAAGAATTTATCCCAAACAGCTGGAATCATAAGTACAGTAACATAGGTTACTTGAAAATCTCACAACTATTGAGTAAGGCTAACGGTCAATTATTAAGCGTTAGTGATAAAAAGATTAAAACCCCCTCGGGGAAAATGTACTTTCAGGTAGTCAGTATTCAGGTATAGTGTGGATGATGACCATCGTAACATAGACTGCTATTCAGATGGTTCGCTTATCAAAGGTAAAGGGAGTGGTGCTGGAATCTACATACCAAAATTAGGAATCAGCATCTCCTCCCCTCTTGGCAATAACACATCTGTTTTTCAGGTGGATATCTGGGCCATTAATGTGTGTTGTAGAATGTAACCCCGGTCTGGTTTGTCCAGACCAAAAGAAAATTTTGTATGGGCGCCAGATAGTCTTTTAACTATCAAGGGGGGGAAAACAAATGTTGGCGGCCAGGAGATAGCTCTGCGTGAGATGGGAGGGTTCGCAAGGGACCTGACTATTTGTTGAGTAAAGAAATTAAATAAAACACAAAGAAATAAAAGTGTGATGGTTAACTAAATATATTTGCATGTAACGAAATGAAATTAAGGTACTTATCCTAACTAAACTAAAACTATATACATAACATTTAGGCCTTTAACATACAATAAAATGTCTGAAGTGAGCACTCACTCGATATCTTCTCCGAGACAGTCACGAGACGGTGTCCGATGATGAGAAAGGAAACGATAGTCCGATAGATGAAAAATCTTCGAGCATGCTCGTAGGACGACTCGTGGAATCCTGACCGTGCTGATGTGGCTTCCTCTCCGCTCGCTCCAGTTCCGGCCAAAGTTCAAAGCGTCCGAGCCAACAACATCCACACCAACTCCGGGCCACCACTTAATTACCTGGTTACAAGAACACTTATGGAAAATAAAATTAAGGGAAAAGATATTAGAATTTTTTCTGACAGTCAGGCTAGTCTTAGGCCATTACAAAAAGATACAAAAGTCTATCCAGGCATTAAACCCCTCGTGTCTTGGTCGCCCACCCTGCATAATATATTTATATACCTCAAACAGCAGTCGACTATTCGACTAGTCTTGCTGCAGGTCCCCTTTCTGATTGGTTGCCTGATTGAGCGTGTTCACCAACTGAATCTCTCCACCTTTCTGCTGCTTCCTAGACAGTCTACAGTCAACTCTGCTCAATTTGTCTCACTGTTAGTCTCCTTTCTGAATGTGTTCTTCTAGCCACAATCAACAAGAGGATATGTGAGCACAGCCTGGAGGTTGTAGGAGGATTTATGGAGTAACACCATCTAGGGCTGACGAACAAAGTTGTTTTTCCAACTGTATCCTCCTGCATTCGGAAGTATCATCTAAAAGTTGATTTTATACTGATGCAAATTCTGAAAGATCTGCCTTCCTCGTATGCACCGACTCTCTGAGTGCTGTTTGGGCCCTGCGAGGTACTCTGTGGACCCTCTTGTGCTGTTGATGGAAAAATTCACCGAGTTGAAGCGCCTTGGAAAAACAGTGGTTGTTGTCCGGATCCCCGGACATGTCGGGCTGGAGGGTAATGAATGTACAGACGAGGCGGCAAAAGCCGGGACCACCCTCTAGACCGGACCATCGCGACCAGGCCCTCTGACGCCAAGCTAAAAGTAAAGAACATGGTAAAAGAAAGATGGCAGTGGGCCGGGTCATCCGAGATGCTTTTGCGCGTCAAGAGCACGATTCGTAGATAGCACCCGAGAACCTGAGCCGGAAACAAGGAATTGTCCTTACGCGATTAAGAATAGGCCATACGTGGTTGACACACAGGCACGCTCTTGGGCCAAAGCCTGCGCAGGTGCCCCTTATGCAGAGAAAGGTTGCTCGATATGTCCCACATACTGGAAACAAGTCATGTCTTGCCTCTCTACAGGGAGCGTGTAGGCGTGCCCACTGACCAAACAGAATAAGTGTACTGTATGGATGTATTTATGTGTATGAATGTATTTATTTGTATGAATGTAGTGTTTGAATGGATAAATAGAATATAGACTTTGTTGGGGGCTGAAATGACCTAGATGTCGGAAGCCAGTAAAAAAAAAAACCCTTTCATACTAATCTCAATTCGAAGCAGAGACCACTAGCATGTCAAATAAGAGACACCTAACTACTTGGCCATTGCCATATTTTTTTTATATATTTATTTATTTATATATTTTTATATTTTTATATATTTATTTATATATATATATATTTTTATATATTTATTGGGCTATTTGCTTAACATGTTTTGCTTATGTATGTGGCCATAATTATAGTTTTGATTAATAAATATAAAAAAATTCAAGTGATGTCACAATAAAACTTTTTACAGGTCTCATTTAGAATCAAAATTGAAGGTATTCAATCAATATTACGATGGGAAAAGTGGAGAAATAAGATGTCGAGAGGTTAATATAGTATTTACAAATATTTGATTTGTATTTAAATAACCAATTTGTGCTGATTTTAGGTAAATGGAAGACTGGTACTTGAAGGTGCGCTCCGAATTTACTGGGGTGTTTCAGGAGTCATTCACTTGAAGGAGGACGTCGATCAACGAACTGTCGTCACGGTCCGGAAAAGGAATTCGTACCGTTACAGCGGTGTGAACGGTTTTGGCCCAAAGGTATTAATTGTCAAGTCTGGAAAAAAAAACTTCCCGGATGACATTTTCTCTTGTAAATAGGCGGAGAGTTATGAAAACGGCAGTACAACGCCGAACGAACAGAATAACGCTGAACTAAAAAATGGCTCAACAGCCGCATCTTCACCGATGGCCGGCGAGGACGATTCGCAGAATTTGACTGGCAAAAGCCTCACCCTCCCGTCAAAGCTGGATCTTAAAAACCTAGAATGGAATGAAATCGATGATCTTTTGCAGGTCTCTAACCAATACAAATTAATCATAATTATCCGCTTTTCACTTGGAAACATTGTATTATTTCAATAAATCCATTAAAATTAGTATAAAGTTGTGATCTATTTTTGTAATATATATAATAATATATAAAAAGTTAGAGCATAGCCAAAATATTTATTTTTTTGTTTTAATTACAATAGGTAGAAAGACGAGTTGAGGATGGCGAGAAGTTATACAGAACAATGCCTTCTTCTTTGCCGAGTGCTGGTAGACCGGCATCACTTGAAACTGCGAACTCTGAGGAAGGGGATCGGACTGTCGACTCAACGCCTTCGACGCCTTCATCATCAGATCCATTTTATACAGACCGCGACCCGTACTCGGATAGCCTTGACAACACTCTCGAAGGGCGTGGCTTAGATGAAAGCGAGCCTAGACCGAGATCGTTCGACAGGAGCCAGAGCAATCCAGAGAACCTCACGGCTTCTGCCGGCCTGACAGACAGCGAGGAGGAGTCTACCAGGTCTGAAGTAACAGTCGTAAGGAGGAGGAGGCGTGGCGACGCGGCCATCAGGCGCAGGCCGGGTGCAATAAGGCGAAGAAGAGCAGGTGCCAAGCTTCGACGGAGATGTTCCATCAACGGCCATTTCTACAACCGCGAAACTTCTTTCTTCACACCTCCTTTCGGCTCTCAGATGTCAGTCTGGGTAACTTCTTTAGTTTCGACTCAAGAAGTTATCAACTTAATGCTCGACAAGTATAAAGTTGACTCTAAACCGGATTTCTTCGCGTTATTCATCGTACGCGATAATGGAGGTAAGGTTTAAAATGCTCTGATGAATTTCGTTAAGTGAACCGTCCAATTTCAGAACAAAGAATGCTGAAGGAAGATGAATATCCTCTTTTGACGAGGGTGATGCTCGGCCCACATGAGGACGTGGCCAAGTTGTATCTCATGGATAGAACGACCACTGAGGAAATATCGCCAGAAGTCGCACAGTTTCTCAATCTGTCGATGTTCGAGTGCAATGCCATTCTTGAACAGTACAACACTGAACAAGCCAGAGAGGAGCGGAGAATCCAAGCCAAGTAAGTTTACAATTGTTGCTCGATGACATGAACTTTAATCGTAAATATTTGTAGATTCCGTGAGATGAAGAAGAGGATTAAACAATGCATGGAAGATTTAAAAGTCCGTTTATAGTCGGACGTTTCCATTAGTAATAAAAGTGAGTCAATTAGAAGAATATTGAGTTTAAAAAAAAAATTCCTTTTTATACTGATTTTGTTTTTATATCTGCTATAATAATCAAATGCCAAATTGCACTTTTTAAAAAAAATCAAATTCTTTCACTTTTTAAGTATAAATTTCTCAAGAATCAAAAGCTGTCTTCCTTCCAAATTTTAAGGCTAGTCACGTATCATGGTGTTCTTTCCTAATCAACTAAAAGCAATTTTCTCAGAGGCCTAGATATTCAAATTAGACTAATTGATATTTTTAACTTAAAGCACAATTTTTTTTTATATAAAATTATAGTCTAGATGTAAAATTAATTTTTGTTTTAGATGATGTATTTTTTAAATATCGACCTATAATTTTTTAAAAATACTATAACATTTGTGATATACAAGACATTCTTTACAATCCATATTTTTTTTAATTGTATCTTTTATAATTTAAGAGGAAAAAAATATTATTAATCGGCATATTTTATAGTTTCTAACAAATTAAATAAAGCACATTCTTAAAGAAAAAAGATAATTGCAATTTTTTTGAAGCTTCCTTATTTTTCAATCCTTTCCAAATTACAACCTCAATGCCATTGGATTTTGGATCCTCAATGGGAGGATAAACACATGGGATCTTAGAACGAAAAATAAATAATTTTTTGGTAATACTGTAATGAGGCAATGAGAGAAAAAAATTGTTTTTCCCGACGGGGGCCGATTAAAACCCACCAGAAAAATTGGCGATGAAAACACCCGGCTGGTAAAAGAAAGCAATATTAAAAAATATTTAAACTCAGTTCACTAGTTTTCGTGGTCCTCTTGACCAAATAAATTCTTTTCAATTGATTAAGGTTTTGGTTGAGATAAAAATGGCAAAAAGGAGGGAAAGTACAAAAGGTGGGGTTGAGATGGGAAGTTAGTGTCCGAGTGGATCAAAGTCACGATAGCTCAAGTGGTAGAGCGTATCTAGACGAAGGTCGTGGGTTCGAATCCCGCTTGTGCCATTGACTTTTTTATCTCAACTAAAAACCTTAATTATTTGGTTTATTTTGTCGAGATATAAGTATTATTTTATTATTATTATTTTTTATATGTGAGTTTGCCAATAGGGAATTGTGCCATTCTAGTGTCGTGTTGAGAGCGTCATGACACACAAGAATGGCACAATTATGCAGAAAACATACACTTTGAGCCCTGAAGATGATCTCAATAAAGATCGAAATGTTGGCACGATAAAGTTAATTTAATTTACATAAATTGAACAATAAAGTGACCTGCCCAGGATCAATAGATTAAAGAGAATAGTGACACTTATTACTGTAAATTAATCAAATTACACAAAAAAACTTGGTTTTAAATGTTATTCACTGTATTTAACAATTAAAGAAAACAAACACTTCAAAATAGTCTTATTGGAAGACATGAGCAGCCGAAAGGAAAGGTCTTACCTGTGAACAGCAAAACGATGTGCGGCGAAGATTGTAGGTGTCGTGAATTCACAGCGATGAGAAAACAACTTCTTACTCCGGCGGTGTACTCGTAAATTGTAACTTCGATTACAAATCAAAAAGAGAATTAAACGCGTTCATCCACTCACAATTATTAACTGGCCTGCTGGACCCGACACCTTTTTTTTTCTTCTCCATGGAAATTTGAACAAATAAAATTAAAAATGAATAAACTTCTCTCCAGCGTAAATATAGGCTAATTTTATCTTAACATCAAAACTGCCTTCTTCAAATTCAATCCTCCAAATAGCTTAATTCTGTTTAAAAAAATCTTTAATTAGTCATCTACATTATTTGATTTTACAAATTAAGAGACCTCTGTTGGATGGTCATAACTTCCTCTGCGATTCCAGCCCTATTGCGTCAGTTTTACACTTTCTCACAGCATTCTCACTTCTAGGGAAGAAATGCAATTTGTAAATTCACTTTCACTGTTTTGTATTAACATATTTATTTAAAAAAAAGCCAATTGGCGAGAACACTTATTTACACAATTTTAAAAATTAAATGTAAAGTTGTGTTCTGCACAAAAGGTAGCAGGTATATAATTTTGTAAGCTTTTTTATTTCCTTACCCATTGCTGTTCAACATTAAGAAAATAATACAATCGTACATGTGTAACAACTTTAAAATAAATAAAAAATAGGTCTAAAATCAATGTACAATTAAAAGACAAGAACTTCAGGTTATTATTTAAAATTGATTATAATCTTCAACAATAAAATATGCACAAAGAATAATTTAATAATTTTTAATTTTAACAATTAAATGTGAAGTTAAGTTCTGTACAAAAGGTAACGGGTGTATAATTTTTGTAAGCTTTTTTATTTTCTTACCCATTGCTGTTCAACATTAAGAAAATGATACAATCGTACATGAGTAACAACTTTAAAATAAATAAAAAAATAGATCTAAAATCAATGTACAATTAAAGGACAAGAACTTTAGGTTATTATATAAAACTGAAAATAATCTTTAACTATAAAATATATACAAATAATATTTAGGCGAACAATAGAACAAGCAATTGCAACGAATATCAGGGGGGCTAAAGGTGTTGGTTTTTTCCAGAATATAAAAACAAAACTATTTTAAAATAACCGTATGACTATGGAGTCTATACAAAGTAGTCGTCCCTTCTCGCCCTTATGCTCGCTAAAGGTTCCATTAACCTAGAAAAAAAAAAAAAGTTGAAACTTGATTTTATAAGACAAATGGGCTTTTAACCATACCTCTGTTTTTTTGTTGGGCTAACTTCTAAATTTGACTTATCCTGCAAAACAGAGAACAAATTTTAATAAATTCAGAACTGACAAGCAAAGAACAGTGGTGTCTGTCTGCCTAGTATAAATTGAAACTAATCCCTGTTTAGATCTTCATTTATTTTAATCCATACAGGGCAGCAGGTGTCTCTATATTATTTTATCCACATATTTATGCATTTATTTTTAGTGTGAAACCAGCTTTTAAATGTGTGCCATTAAAAACATTTTTTTTTTAGGCTGTTAAGTGCTAAAACATTTTTGTCATTTTCAAGATTTGTAAAGAAAAATCTCCAAAAAGTTTTACAATTTTGTGTTTTCTTCAATTATTTATTGTAACAATAAATGATGGTAAATATACAAAAGTGTATTTCTAGTTTTCAGGTTTTTTATTTAAGTAAGTTTTTACTAATTGTTGAAAATGGAGTCTTATATACAAAGGAAGAGCTGTAAAATGGAGAAGGTAAAAAATTGTTATTTGGAGCGTATTGCAAACGGCTGAAATTGTACAAAAAGTTGGCCTTTCACTTCTTCCAGACGTTAATTACAATGGGTAACAATTAAAAATCCAAAAGGGTTTTATGAAAATTTGAAACTAAACACTTGTACGGGTTGCACCAAATTTGGCCATCGCCTGTGGGAGCGGATTTCATAAGAGACCCACCCAAAATCGTTAATTTAGACAACAGATACAGAGAAAAAAATTATTGTTATACAATTATTTATTTAACAGGTTATTTAACAATGAATAAATAAATAAAATCTGCCTCAGAGCCAGCCTCAGCCTCCTCGTATTCACAATGGAAAGGGGGTCAGCCATTGGTCTTTTTTTATTTTTTAAATATATTAAACTAGATTTTTTTCTACAGAGTTTGCTGTAAATAATCTGCAATTTTGAGCTCTTCGCAAGTGCTAATTTTTTAAAATTTTCAACAAAAATTTTAATTGTTTAAAAATGACTAGACTAAACTAGATTATTTTGTGCATTCTTTGGTATAAATGATTTGCTATTTTGAATTTTGCAAGTACTAATTTTTTTTCAATTTCTTTATTAATTAGAATTATTTTGGGTATCATTACATAGATCAGAATCGCATCTACAAATGGATAAATCACAGTACGTCTTCAACAAAAAGATGCATCAAAAGAAGCATGATCAATATGTTGAAAATCAAAAGTGAAAAGTGACGTTTTGTGCTCCTTTATGTTCCATTTTCTCAGTTTTTGTTGAATATTTTGAATTGCTTTTTATTAATTTATTTTTTTAATTAACAAAAACAAAATTACAAAAACTGAAAATTTTGTCGCACTTTTTTTTATTAGGACCCTGAGGGAAAAAATGATAATTAGAAGGCAGAATTTTCAGGGCCGCTGAATTCGAACCAGGGACCTTCACCTTACAGTGATGAGTGCCGTGCCAACGCCAAAACCGCACAGATCTTTAGTATCGCTTTGTCATTACTGTGAAGATGGTTTGTGAATTTTACTTTTTGGAATTTTTTATAATTTTTGAGGAAAAAAATATTTTTTTCTGTATCACGGCAGTCTTTACAAATCAGTGCCACAACAAATGCATTAAACTTTATCTCAAAATGTTTACAAGAAAGCTGTGGATAAAATAAGTCCCATTACGTTGTGATTGGACCATTAAGCGAGGAACACACCCAACACAACACGACATGACATGACCCAAGCTAGTCTTGTCGTTTTACTAGGTTGTTCACACCAATTCGATGTCAAACACACGCCACAGACAACACAGGGTACATCACAAACCAGTGTCATAATCGCAACAACTCTTTTGCTAAATTAAATTATTACCTAAATTCATTCTATCGACAAAAGGTATTCAGGTGTGTTCATAATTTTTCTACAAACCATCATAATTGAATGATTTTTATAAAAACTCGTGAATTTTTGATTTCGTTAAATTTGGTTTACTTTAAGATAAATCAGGTCATGTCATGGTCATTGCGTCGGGTAAATGTGTTCCCTGTTTTAGTTCTAAATATTTTAAAGAAAGAATGACAGTATTAGAAAAAAGAATCTGAGAATTGGTTGAACACCCCCTCCCCACCCAAATAAAGAATGAAACACTAGAAAAAAAATTGAGCTGTAAGTTTTCTTAATAAGCTGGACAAGCAGGAAAGCATAGCTTTTTAAAAATCATTTTGGCCAGTCAATAACGAACGGAGGAACTGGTTTGTATAAAAACCATTTACCTTACGGGCCTGCGGTCTCTTGTACAGGGGCGTGCGAACCCAATCTGGATCATTGTTGGGGTCATCATTCTCTATCTCGACCGAATCGTCAAACGCCCTCATCTTCTCTTCATCCGCCAATTCGTAGGTGAACGTCTGTGTTTTCTTTTTGCTCTTTCTCATGCCCTGACCAGCCTACAAATGATTTTGAGTTAAAATAAATGCAACAAATGAAATTATTCTTGTTAAAATAAATAAATAAAAATAATAATAACCGCCTTAGTTTAACCAATAAGCGCTATTTTCAGACCGGATGTGCATTACAACTGACTGAATCAATTATCAATCATAAATTTTATACTTTCCTTGTCTGAAAGAATTAAATCTATCAGCTATTTGATGTAACAGGATCGAATCCTTTATTGGAAAACCTTCAAAACTGAACTTAAACAAGAATCACTGATCGTCAACTTGGAAATGAAGACAGGTGCAGTTGATATTCATACAAATAACAATGAATAAGCAAAAATTTATTTTACTCAATAAGAAGTGTATTTTTAGTTGTTTTGCTTTGTAAACTTAAAAGAAATGAATTTACTAATGGTCTACTCAAACTATGTGAGTTTCCTCCTGTGGTTTGTGGGGTGATAAACTTAACATATCCTGGTCTGCCTACCATAACCGATTTTTGTTAATTCGTACACGTTTTAGCATTTTGTCATCTTCGGCACCACCATGGCGAATTGCCGAAACACATCTAAATTAATAAGCGAGAGATAGGCAGACCAGTATGATAGGTAACTATAAAAAAAATCCCAAACTAATTTGGATTGGCATACAAAATCTACAAAAATATTTGTCATGAAGAATAGAAAAATGGAGAAACTGATTTAAATGTTTACTTCAATCCAAAACACGAAATTGATCCCATTTTTTATTTATATTACTGTATATTATATACTTACAAAAATTTTCTTGTAGAAATTTTAGATCACTTATGAACTGAATGCAACAAGCACAGATTGACATAACAAAAGAAAAAAAAAATTCGTGGCCAGAAATTGTTTTAAAAATTACAATCGATTTAATCAACCATAAACCTACAAATTATTTCTTTTTTAGGAATATTTTAGAAATTATGAAATTAATATTAGCCAAAAAAGAAGTCATTATGTTCAAAAATTCACCTTTTTTTATAGTGACTTAAACACTTACCCTACTTGGTTTAACCCTTTCAGGTCGGTCAACACCCTTTGGTCCCCAATGTACTAAGTGAGTGTGATATCGCACTATAGTCCCTTTGCTTTTAGACTAAAGCTAAAGAAACAAGTGTACTGTAAATTATTTTTAACACTGTTATTTGCTGGTTTGAGTAACACACTCTTTCAACTTCAGTCTAATAGTGAGAAGAGCGTGATGTCACACTCACTGTACCTGGGTAGAGGGACAGGTGAGCATGACTGAAGACTCTCAGCTCCTCACAGGAGGAAGCAAGAGCGGGATATCACTTTACCTGTCCTGAAAGGGTTAACTTGCTACATTTTTATCAAAACGCCCCAGGAATCAAGAAGATGGGATTTTATATTCTTAGAATATCTTTTGATTATTCTACTAGTGATAAACAAAATTTAATGATAATGTGACAAATTTATATTTTTGTCAATTAATAATCCACAGCTAACGGATGACACGACGTAATTTCAAATGTGGTTTTGAGTTTAACGCAGCAGACAAAAAAATTCCCTTCAAACAGAATGAAATTTTTGGACGGAAACTTCTATAGACAAATATGACAAATTTATTCTCAACCCTCCTTTTCAATCAATGACAAGGTTGTTAAACCAATCTCCTGGTGCAAAAGAGGAAGACGATCAGCTTTAAAAGCGTTGCAATGAATTTTTTTAATTTTTAATAAATTAAAAATAAATTTACAAATTTTTTTCATCATGCACATGCAATAATTGATCTTAGAAAGAGTACCTTCAATGTAGTTAAGTTTGGATTTGATTGCGCCAAAAAATTTTCAAAAGCTTCCATATGCGTAGATGGCTAAATAAACAAAAAAATTGATATTTTTCAATCATTGAACAATCCTAATATAATAATAATAAAAATCAAACTGCCTTATGTATTTATTAAAACTAAACAAAAGAAGAAACGCTATATTTAAAATTTAGTTTAATTATGTAAAAACCATATCTACAAATATCTATTTCTGATATCCATTTATTAATTGCTTTTGATTCGGAGAAAATGATATTTTTAAAAAATAATATACACGTACAGGTTTGCGCACGACGAGTGCTTTGTTCAAGGTGTCTACTTCTTCCTCGAGTTCCTTGACTCTGTTCCTGAGCATCCCGACTTTCTCGAGCTCTTCATACTTGATATTCTCGTATTGAACCATCTCTTCAGACCCGTTCAGACTTGGCTCTTGAATGCGCTTCAACAAGATGTAGACCTACAAGAAAGAAAAAAAATGTTAGAACATGTTTTTTTTCCCCAATATATAAAATTTGTTGTCTTACTTTTTCCTCACATTCTTTTTCCAAATTTTCCAATTCAACTTTGTGATTGGCAGCCATTATTTCCATCTTTTGAGAATAGAAATCAAGCTGGTTGACATATTCATGTTGTTGTTCCTATTAGAAAAAAATTAATATTAAAAAAAGAAGAACAAAAAGGTTAATAAAATGTGAAAAGCTGCCAAAAGACCTTGAGCTCTGAAACGGACTGTGCAGTATTTAAATTTTCTTTTATTTTTTCAGACACAAGGTTGAACAGGTACGAAATGGCAAACTTTGCATCGCCCATTGATTGCAGCATATCCCAATTTCCTTTAGGACGATCTTCTAAAGGAAAAAAAAATAATAGTAACAATAATATGACAAGTTAAACTAAAAGTATTAACAATATAATACCATGATGGATATCAAGAAGCTTTTGCTGAAGGTCAGAAATTTCGGCACTCCTGTTGGCGATGCCTTCTTCAATTTGTTTCATGTTCCTTGCTAATTTTTCTTTTTCTTCCTGACATATATAATTATCCTGCAGGCTTTCCTAAAACAAATGATAATAATAAACAGGTTTACTTGTATCAATTAAAAATAAACATTTTTTTTTTTAAGTACTTTGACTATGGTTAATTCTTTTGTAAGAGATGCTCGATCTTGGATTAGAGAATCGAGCGACCTCTGGGCTTCGTATTCCGACTCGAGCAGCTCGAGCTCCTCCTGCATCTTTTCTTTTATCCTTTCAGAAGCAGGGCCCTTCAGCCTTCTCATCTTGGCCTGCTTCTGCCTGTCCAGGACAGCCATGATCCTTTTGTTGGCGGCTGCAGCAGCTTCGAGCTTACGCTTCAGTACGTTCTGCTGTAGCGTGTGCTGCTGTTCCAACTTTTTCAGCTGGTTCTGTCGTTTAACGTTCTGGGAACGAAGCAGGCACATTTCTCGATCTTTTTCTACCTTCCACGTTCTGAACTTTTCATTTTCACTCTTCATCTGCTGTATCAGTTTTACCTTGAGTTGTTTCATCGACTAGAAACAAATTGAAGGAAAAGTAGTTAAATGAGATTATCGAATGTTACAATTTGAAAATTAATATTTTACCATGATATCAGCCTGTAAAGCTTTCATTTTTTCATCAGAATTCTGCTTCATTTTAATTATCTTTTCTTGTTCTGCAATCTTTTTAAGAAGTGTTGTCTTCTGTTGCTCAAGTTCTTGGAGCCTTTTCCTTCTCTGTTCAGCAACTCTATAAAATTATCAACATTTAAAGTCAAAGTTCAAATAAGCCTGAAATCGTATGAATAATTTTAGTCGAAAAAATTTCTTACTTGCTGGCATTGTTTGCCGAATTTACTGCAGCGTTGTTGATCTGACTAAGCAGCTCGTCCTTTTCAGCCTGCAAGGATTCGACTTGCTTTTTGAGATCATCGACCTCCTTTTGAGAAACTCCCTCAATGACACCGAGTCCATTTGAATTTTCAGACAATTTTGCCATTAGCTGTTCTTTCCAGACAAGATTCTTTGTGATTTGCTGAGAGAGAAAAAAAACTTGTTGAACTAAGAGCCGTTTAAAAATTACTTTAAATAAATAAATTCACACTTACATAAATTTCTTTGTTGATCTTTGCCTGGGATAGAATGTGTTCGTGCTTTATTGGTGTATTGAGTCCATCCTCTTCAAATGGGCTGTTATTATTTCCTGACAGCTTTTCATGACTGAGCATCTCCTTCTCGCACTGGAGTCTCTGCGCCTAGGGAAAAAGTAAAAAACAGGTTAAGGTATAAAGAAAAAAAAAAAGAACTTTGGGAAAAGGTTTACATCATTCATGCTATCAGCAAGGATTTTTGAGGAAACATGCAGGGTTCTTAGGAGTTCTTCGGGGACTGAATACACTTCAAGAAAACCAAGGACTTCTACCTGAACTTCAAGAATTTTGGTTTTGATCTCTTGCAGAATCTTGTTCTTGTCGATATCACCTGAGTCCGTGTTGATCGATTCAGACAGGTGGGTCAATTCGGAGAACTTCTCTTTCATTGTCTCTTCTAATTTCTCCGCCTGTAAATTTTATTTTTGATTTAAAACAAAAATTGAAAACATTGTGTTGAAATAATCCAATTTTGGTGAAAAACATACCATTACAGCTCGCTCCAATAAATTGGAGCTTTGAGACATATACTCGGTTAAAGTTTTAAGAAGCTCTTTGATACGAGTCTGAGCATCCTCCAACTCCTGTTCCAACTGTTTGTGACTCGGAGGACACTCGTAACTGACACCACCTCCTTCAATAAATTTCAGCCTCATGTCTTCCAACTACAAACAAACGGTTAAAAACTCATTGCCTTTTATGGAGAGAGAGAGAAAAAGTTTACTTCTTTCTTGAGCTTGGATATTTCTGCACTTTGCGAGTCCTGGTTCACTACCGGCTTGTTCTTGATCTTCTTTGCCCTGTCTGCATACCGAAGGGTGCTGACTGACTCGTCTTGGTTGTAATCAGCTGGACTCACACATGCAATCATAAGCGTGACAGAGTTTCCACCAAGTGAATCTAAAAAAAAAAGAATTTGTTAACAAAAAGAGTATTTATGAAATTTTTATGATTTATTAATCAAGATTTTTTAAGAACCTTGAAGGAGACGAGTGAGCTTGCTGTCTCTATAATTGATGAAGCTATTCGTTCCATCACAGAGTTGCGATATGACATTGCCGAGTACCATGAGCCCTTTATTAATGTTGACCCCTTCTTTGAACCTATCGCCTGTGGCGCCAGTTTTTTTCGATCTTTCCGATCCGGCCAAATCCACTAAATGAAACTTAGATGTCATCACTTCCTTCCTGTAAAAACCATCATGCAAAATAATACTGGGAAACTTTGAAATATGAAACAGATCTTACGGGTTTTGCTTGTTGGTTATTCTAATATTAAACGTGAATATGGCATGTGATCGTGATGACTGGGCGTTCATGGCTGTTGCTCCTACCACCCTACCTTGAGAACCCTTGACAAAGCTTAAAATTAATAGAAGATTTGGGAGTATTTTTTTATCGCATCAAAATAAAATTACTTCTTGAAGACGACTGAGGGCTTCGGCGGGCGAATGGACCTCCACTTCAGTCAGACCGGGAATGCAAATACCGTTATTCTGCTCCCGCATATCGACCACACTTTGCTCACGCGGTTTGTTAGTCAGCAAATCATATAGACTTTCATTATACAACTAGGCAAATAAATTTTTTTTTACATTGTAAAAATAAAACAGCTGAAAAATCCAGGCGACTTGAATATTATCAGTCTACTTACCTCTAAAAACGAGCAAGTCACTCTGTACGAATAATCAGTCTTTGTTTCAATTGTATCGAATATATCGTAAACCGCTCTAGGAATTACGCCCAGCTCAATGTCTCCAGAATAATTTGTACCCATAGTGTATGTTTTGCCAGAACCTGTTTGACCGTATGCGAGGATAGTCAAATTATAACCTAATAAATCAAATATCCATCAGAACCTAGTTAACAGTTGAGTATTAAAAAGATTTTTAAAAAGTAAATACCTTTGAATAGATTTTCAATAAGATGCTTCACTGCGCAATTATAGACCTTGCTTTGTCCCTCGAACTCATCGAAGACATAATTAAACGTGAACATCTGACTAGCTTTTCCGATTGAGATCTAATATTTTGGATTTACTAGCATTAATATACAATTGCTGAATTATCAGATTAAAAATATTTACCTGAGGTTCATTGGGTATCCTTTCAATGCAAGAGCGACAGCCACTTTCAGTTTCTGATTTTACAAGTGGCCTGATTCGTACAGCAACCTTTACTGAATCCATCTAAATATTTAAAAACAAATTTTTTAGTGAAAAAAAAAAGAAAAGAAAAGTAATTCCTGTCATACAGGAGTGTTAAACATCCAACTAGTTTTGAATTCTGTTGTGGAGGAGTCAAACCATTGTACAATACTTTCAGCATATTATTCCCAATTATAAAATCGTTTGGTGCTGTATTGTGCCGCACGTTTATGTTAGCGAGTCGGTTTTACCAGATTGTATTGAAATGAAAACGTAGCATTGAGTACTAAAGTTTATTATAACATAAAGCAGACACTGGAGAACACAGAATGGAGCATAATATTTATTTTGGTTAATATTCAATTACGAGTAATAATAGTTTTGTCAAGTTCGCTGAGTTTGGCAGGAACAATTGATAAGACGTAGAGATAAACGGCAATCTCTGACTTTCATGTTCACTGGGCTTTTGTCGCCGATGCTGTTTTATCAAGACAGAATCGTCTAGGAAAAATGGCTTTGACGATGATTTCTCAGCAGCTCGTGAAGTTTTGTAAGTCTTTGTAGATTCAGAACCATTGACTCAGACTGACATCTTTACAATTTTTTTTTTTTAGCAAGTGTTGTTCAATAATTTGTTTAAGTATTAAGGAGCAGTCGGAATGAAGTGTTTTAGATTAAAACAACAAAAGTATGCCCAAGCTTGTCCTCCATGTTAGAGGCAGAAGAGCAAGGAGATAGTTCAGTCTAGCCTTGGCATTGAGAAGGAAAAAAAAACAGTACTAGATTTGAATCTATTTTGATTTTATTTGATATATAAAACCCATTTTCATCGTGTGACCTTTTTTTTTTCTTTTTTATTATTTGTTACAATCAAAGTTGATTATTTTAAGTTTGACCTTAAGGCAAGTATTGTTATCGTTTTCATGTCCCATTATTGTTATTTATTTGCTTGAAAGCAAAAGTTTATGCTTTATTTGTTTTATTTTTAAGACGCAGCTTGAAGTTTTGTCATATATATTGTTTGTTATTGAAACAATATAGAAGCATCTCTCTGATCTTATATTTTTATCACTTTTCTTCCAAAACAAATTCCTTTGATTTTGAGTCAAGATCACCGGCTACCACTATTTATAATGGGACTTTCCGAGGAATGATTGTTTAAATTATGAATTTAATAATGTCCCCAGTGTGGATAATATTTGTTGCTATAAGATTAACAACTTTTTCATTTTTTTGCCAACGTTTTGACCTTTATTCGTGTCATCTTCAAAGCTTGGGTGAATTACAAAATGTATGTTAACACAAACGTTAGACCTGTTTTGTGTAATTCACCCAGGAATGTCTTAGGAAGAAATTAATACAGATAATGTAAAAAAACAACATTTTGGCACAATTCGTTAGTTAACCATGGACATATCATGAAATTATATCAACAAAAAATAGCATATACGTAATTGACTTCATAGATTTAAAACCAGTTCAAACAAGGCCTCCCCATTTGGAGGAGAAAGAGCGCACACGTTTTCATTCATTATACAAAGCATTTCAGCATTATACAAAGCATCAACACTACTTTCCTAGGGGAAAACACATTTAAAAGACAGTTCACGAAGGTTTTTTATGTCTATAATAATGAAAACTAGGACTAAAATGGTAAATTTAAATTGTTCATATTCAAGAAGTGAGGAGAGATGGTTTCTCTCTGCAATATGTTAGCAGATAAAACTGTCTGTCATTTTATATAAATCTGCCCAAATCTGAGGAACTACAGAAAAACCTTTATACATGTGTCACATTTCAAATGATTTCAAAGTGACAATGTTATGTTTTAGATTTTGTGATTAGGCCTAGAGAAAAAAAATAAAAGAGAATAGGGATGAGACAGTCGGGTCTGAGAGGTGAACAAGTCCATTCCGTGTAGATGATAGACAAGATAAGTGTGCGATCCTCAAAAGTGTTGTATTCCCTAAAATAGAGTGCTTCGGTCCACTGTGGATTGACTGGAAATAGTGAGTACATATCCACCCTTGTTCTAAATGGCCTGGCAAACGCTTAGTAGGAAATTACTGTTTATTTAAATTTATAAAGTTTTAATTGTTTGTTTAAAATTTAAAAGGAAATTTATTGGTTTTAATTATTATTTTCTTGTGTGTTTAATAAATTGTTTTTAAACTTTAATTAAATTTTATTATAAAAAGGCACCTGATCGCCTGTATTCAGGTTCTATCAAGACCTCTGGGGTTGTTATAAAAAGGATTCAGAGTTGGGCCCGTCTTGTCGAATCGAGAACAGATTGTGACACATGCATTTCAATTAAATAGGAATATATTTCTCAAAGATTTAAATGGACGAAATTGGCAGCAACTGTATAATTATTTAATATACATATTAAAATGTAGAAATCAATTCAAACAAGAATTTAATTATTAAATTAATATATTTAACTATTTATTCATTCAACTGTTTATTTATTCCGAGTACTATATACAATATTTATACATTTATTAATAGTTGTTATGAGTTGGCTTATGGACATATATTAAACTACTTTATTTGTTACATTTTAAGAAATTGTTTATATATGATGCTTGTTTATTGTATTTTTTTTTTTTCTCCGTAGCTGATTTAATATAGGATTCAATAGTGTATATATATTATAAACATATTATGCGTACCAACTACTTCCAGAGACAGATGATATCTCAAATGTGTATATGCTTTTTGTACAGTTCATATTTGTATGTTGTTTTTCGAGGAAAAGAAATAAAAAGCATTTACATTTTATTTTATTATATTCTATGACCTGAATAAAAGCCGAAACTTGGGGGGGAGGAGGAATGAAAAAAGTGTTTATCGAAAATAATTCATTCCTGACTGCTCCTCACCAACAGATTAGATCTTTCACAATATTTAAGCATGGTGTTATTGTTTGATTTTACTTAGCTTGAAGCCACTGAGCTATACTGTGTTCGTGTAATCCATCCAAGTTTTGCTGGCTTGGAGTCGAAATTTTTAATTACCACCTGTGTGAGACAACAAATTTTGAATATTGAAAGAAGCGATGATGAAATGTCGATTACAAAACAATCAGTTTCGAATACTGAAGCATTTGTCGGCTGCTTGCCGATGGTCCCGCATCTGATCAATTTGAGTGGCAATATCCATCAGGTCGGTGACGTCTTCAACAGATGAATGGATGAATATTCAATGCAATTTTCATCTTCAGTGCTCAGTTTGTTTGATTTCTGTGGAGTGAAGATCCAACACACAGCTCCCCCACCATCCAACTTCACAGAAATCACCTCAACTCAACACCAAAAATCTCAACGTGTCTAACTGACAAAAATCAGTGATGACCGAGATTACAGGTAATTATTAAACTATATTGTCACGTACATTTCGATCACAATAGGACAAAGACCGTCTTAATCTGCCGGTTGACAGATACAAAATTAGAGAATTTGTCAGGTGGCAACCATAAAACTGGCCACCCTGACAAATTTCCAATCATGACTTTCAAAATGTTCTTTTTAGTAATTATTTTTCACATTATCGTTTGACTGTTGAGAGATCATCTCCTGAAATGTGAGACCATTAGTCAAAATCTAGTCTTGGTTTAAGCAACAAAAAATCAGCAATACTAACAAAGCAAGTGTAATTAATTAAATTGTAAAATACATTAACACAAATGCACAACAGAAGGCCTAAAAATGCAAGAATAAGGCAAACTAAAATTATTGCATAACGAACAAGTTACAGGGTACAATGGGCTCCAAGAAACAATCACAGTCTTGTTAACAAAAAACAGTCATGTTACATTGCTCAAAAAATTTTCCTCTCTTTTTAATTAAAGAAAAATTTCTCTAACTACAACTGTTTTTATTGAAGTAAAACAATTGTTAGATTCCTTCTTGAAGGTTTGCAGCAAGATTGACCTATAATCTTTTCTATTTTTCACTATCTGATGTATTTCGGCGTCTGGCTTTGTTAATTTCTTATTTAATGCTTGATGCTTTTGAAAGATTAAGTCTAGCTATTTTCATTTTTCTTTTGGCTCATTGCTTGTATGTCATGATCACAATAAATCTAATAATGAATGTGTGTAAAAAATAAAAACATCAATTGTGGAAACTGGAACAGCAGCATAACTTTCTTGACTTTACCATCACATAAACTAATAAATAATATTAAAAAAATACAAAGCCGATCACAGGCAGCCAATTAATGAAGACTGACCAGCCAAAAATGATCCGACAAAACTAAATAATCAGATGGTTTCAATTTCTAGTTTGCACGGGATTTTGGAAACGAACATCAGCATAACTTTCTTGACTTTACTAATTAATAATTAAACTAATAAATAACATACAAAAGACAAAACATACAAGCCAATCAATACTGACCAGCCAAAAGAGATCCAACCAAACTAAATAATAAATATTGTTTCAACCTTATGCGAGAAGTCTGAATCCTAATATAACTTTAAAATCATATGTGGTGGTCACCTATTCATTCATTTTATTTATTTTTTAATTTTATACATAATCAAGTAAACTTTTTTAAAAATTAATATATGTATATACACACAGAAGTTTTGTTACTTATATTATACTTATATGCATGAAAGTTTTTTTTTAATTTCTATTTTTTAATCATATACAGAATTGTTTGAAAAAGAGGTATTAGTGGAATTTATTTTATTTAATTTTACCGTAACATTACAAATATTGGTAGCAGAGCGTCTGACTATTCAATTAATCAGAGTGTTACGATTTACTGCTGATTATAAAATAATTAAGTAACAATGGGAAAAAATAAAAAAGTTCCACACAAAGATCACTGATAAATATTCGGTCGCAAACAAAATTTATACAAGAAGAAAAAGAAAAATGGACACAAAAAATTATAGATAATTCGATAGAATTTATATTAAATAAATTGCAAATACCACGGGATAATGATATAATGAAAGAATTCATTTCGGATATCAAACAATAATTTAGTATGAAAGGTAATAAAGAAGGTGAAACCGACAAAGACACAGACACAAATATTGATACCAAAGAAAATACCAAAGACTGAGAATATTTCTGATTCACATTTAATAGGGTCCACTTTTCTAACAAATACACAGAATACATGTCCTGATTAGATCATGAAGAATCAGGTTCACAACAGGTTTCCACAAGTTTAACTTCTGATACCATAGATTTGAGAAATAAGTCGAAATGCCATAAAAAATCAAAGTAGGTCTCATACACATTAGAACATAACTTACAACACCTGCCTTATTTTCATTTGTACAACCCACAATCAATACTAAATTTTTTATTAAAACTAGAACCAATTGCAAGAAGAAATATAACGCAATTTAAATCAATATTGTCCATACTATTAGAGAGAAAATAAATTATCGGCTAATTTCATATACAATGCCCTAGTATTATACTTGAAATTTTGGACAACTGTATTGTAAGATAGAACTTAAAAATCATACATGATGGGCCACAACTTCTCACAATGCCAACAAATGTTCAACAAGTGGCAGATTGTCGATAAAACTCGCTCTTTTATTAAAATAGGAAATTCTCAAATTGGTTTGTGTGTTGTACGACAGGGTTCTTCAACAAAGATCGACCGATTTGCCTGATGGTTCAATCCAAAAGAATCAAAGTTCAGCTTCCCTATACCTGGAATTTTGAACTTTAGGACAACTGTATGTAAGATAGAACTTAAAAACCATACGTGGTGCATCAAAATCTTTCACAATGCCAACAAATGTTCAACAAGTGGCAGATTGCTCGTCAAACAAGCTCTTTTATTAAAACAGTCGTTAGTAGAATCAGTGTGTTATAATCAGGATCGTAAAGAATTGTGTATACAGGTTAAACCACGAACGGGAGTTAAATGGCAATTAATAAACAATAAAAAGTCAAAATTACCTTAAAAATAGAGTAATTTATATACGAAATTCAAAGAAATTTGCTGAAAGCCCAAAAGTGGAGACCGTTGGCCAAGGCTGGTTCTGTTCCTGCTTGCTCTGGCGGGTTCCGGCTAGCAACCGATTGTGCCGTCCTTTTTGATAAAACTCAATACAAACTTATTTTCTCCAGGATATAAAGAACAATTTTAAAAAAACAATAACTGTTTTTTGCATAAAATCTCATTTTTGGGTGTTTTTTTAAAAGTGTGTGAAAGAATTTGAGGACAAGAATCTCTGTCGACGATCAAGGTACTCATGATAATAACGAGTTATCATTTCAAATTATTTCTTTTATTCTAATTTCCCCTGTGCTTAAAACAGCCATAAAATATACTTAAAAACGGTGGAAAATTAATATAAAGGGCTATTTGGATAAAATTCAATTTCAAATTGGACTTACAATATCTCAAATGAAGTATGAAAAGCTCAAAGATTTGAAAGTCTCGGGTTGCGCGGGTTCTCTCCACTCACTGTAAACGTGAACTTTTTTAAAAATAATAAATACTTTTAGTAAACAAAAAAATGTAACTTTTCAATGATAGAAAAAACTGGAACAAAACGTAAATAACATGCGTAAAATCGTTTGTTAAAAAAAATTAAAGGTAATTCGAGAAAGCTTTTCCCACTGTTATAAAGTATAAACATAAACTTAAACTTGTTTACTTTTATTTTCAACACCGGTCTTTCGTTTAAATGGTCAATTAATGGAGATAGATAACGTTCCCCAACCCTCTGGTAATTGTTTTACATTTTAATATTCAGTATGTAAGCTTTGTCGGTCAGTCTGTGATTTTTTTGCTTGTTTAAAACGACCAAATCGGACCTGGTCCGCTTAGTCTCGCTACGCTTTTCGCTATTAACGATACAGTACAGCCATGAATTGACCGAGAACGACCGGTCGGGTCCGTCAAATCCCTCAGATCTCAGGAAGTAATATCACAATTAACCAGTTTATAATTATATCATAAATCAGATTCAAATGATCTCCCGTTATATGAAGTTTTATAATAGAATCTTTTAACTACTGTGAACTAAAAGTTTTTCATTTTACAGTTTGTCAATATGTTCATAGTGGTGGGAAGCATGCTGAACCGGTCCACTTTTACGTATTTGGTAACTCACAAGTGAAGATGGAGCCTATAAGTGACCCAACCGGTTCAGCATGAGTTCACCAACTTATTTATTTATCAACAGGAAGATGCCCACAACCAGTGTAGTATATATACAGAAAAATACTATACACTGGTAGGTATACTAAACAGATAACAAACCAAAAATTATTTCATAAATGGAACAAATTTCACTATTAATGACTAGAGTTTTGTACATCTTTCCTTAGGATATGAACAGATTTATTAAGCAAATCAATATTCTCATATTCATTCGCTTGTCTTTGTATTCTTAGCATCGGCAGATTTACAATATAATTTGTATCACCATGTTTCACATAGAATAGAAATAGGTCCTTACACTTTGAATAAAAAGAAGGAACTTTAAATTGGATTACTGTTAATAAGTAGGAACAATTTATTACATTATTTAACAATTTATAAAAATTAAAAAAAAGACACACCAGTCTTCTAGTTCATAACCTATGCGGGAGTTGGGGTAACCGAGTGGTTAAGACATCAGACTCTCAGCTAGTAGATCCCACAGTTGTGGGTTCGATCCCCACCGTCGCCTCTGGATTTTTTCTGACGCCTAAGGGGACCGGTGGCCACAATTGAAAATAAATTGGCATGGCACTTGTCAATGGAAAGTCTGGGGCCAGATCTCAGCGACCCTGAATTTGGTCCCAACACCCTTCAAAAATGAGTTTCTTCGATGGAAGAACACCGGCACACCTGGGGCTCAAATTCACACTTGTGTTGTGAGCTCCCAAAAAATGGAGCCAGGGATAAAGTACAATAAGCTGTACAGCTGCAGTGCGCAGGAGGGAACTCCTCCAGTTCCTGGTATCCATTGTAAAAAAAAAAATCCTATAAATTTTAAATCCATAAGAAACAAATAAGAGAAATTGATTCTGTACAAGTTCAATCTGACCAATTCAGAAGCTGTAAAAGGAACTCAAGACAACACAGCTGTATTCTAATATGCTCCTTACGAAAGAACAACATAACATTTTCAGTACAGTCCTATCATTAAAATGACACAAAATTCTTAATATAAATCCAAACATCTTGAGAGCTTTTCTTTTAATAAAGTTGATATGATGATCACAGGACAATTTACAATCTAAATACATTCCTAAGTCTTTTATTGTATTTGCTCTTTCTAGTGACACCATTAATAGTGTAATCATACAATATACAGTATAACTTTCTGTAAAATTTAGGATTTACTCTTAGCAATGTTTAGAAACAAAAGATATCACACCAGGAATACAGATTATTTATGTCCGATTGCAACTGTGAACAATCAACAGTTGATTTAATTCATTTATATATTTTCGCGTCATACAGAAGTATTTTACTGTGCACAATGCATTTAACAAGATCGGTAATAAAATATTTAAAAAGTAACGGGGATAAATGACCACCTTGATGTACACCAGAGGTTGCATAGAATTCATAGGATAAGTTATTATTACACTTTACTACCTACATTGAGCCCAGCGGATGTCAAAAAATATATGAAGAATCTTTGTTGGAAAGATTGGCAGAACCGCTGGGACAAAATGACCGACAAATTAAAAGAACTAAAACAGTCGGTCAAACCGTGGGCCATGGATAGTATGAGCAAAACAGAGGGAATAATGTTGACCCGACTGCAAATAGGCCACACTAGACTGAAGCATGGTCATCTCTTGGTGAGAAAAAGTCCACGGAGATGCCCATTGTGCAACTGCAAATAACTGTTAAGCATTTACTAACCAAATGTGAACTATTGGCACTGCACAGAACGAAGTGTGGCCTTTCCTCGAGTTTGAAAGAGGTTTTACAACACAGCAATGAAAACAGCAAGAAAGTAATCGAATATCTGAAGCAAATAAATGCATATGGTCGCCTTTAATGCTTCTCCACACATGGTTTCGTTTTCCCTTCCTGAAGTGAGTGCATTTATTGGCGAGAATGTGTGAGTGTATGGGTGGGTTGTGCAGGAATATTGAGTATTCCACAGACCCACCGATTTAAGTAGTATTATTATTATAGTACGATTTATAGTATTTAAGATATTAGGCTATAATATCTTTTAGAGTGTATGGGCGGAGGCACTGTTGTAATATTAAATGCGCCAGTGGCTCCGCATTTTTTTAAATTTGTACAGAATGATTGGTTACTGTTTGAGTGAATGTATTTATTAGTGCGATAGTAGTGTATGCATGGGTGGGTCTATGGTAGAATATCAAGTACCCCATAAACCCACCAGCCTAGGTTAATATTTTAGATTAATTGTAATTTTAATTGTACATAATGTATGGATGTATTTATTAGCGTGAACAAGGGCGGGTCTTCAGAGGAATATCGAGTACTCTGAAACCCGCATATAGGCTAGGCTAGGATTGAATGTTAGTGAATAGATAGTTTCAGAGCTTTTTCATCACATGTGGGAGGGCTAAAAACGTAGAAATAATGTCCCAGAACACAACCAGAAAGATCGCCAGACTTCCTACAGAAAAGCTAACTTAAAAAGAAAAAAAAAAAAGTAAAATAAAATATATAAATAAATTTTAAAAAAAATTTAAAACGTGAGGTGGAAAAAATGTGAGGTGCCAGCAATAGCCCAGGCAGCTAGCCGGGCGGAAAAAAAAAACTACCTACGGTTGTTCTCTCTGGTATGATCTTAACCAGTTCAAAAAGTTTAGGTGATGCTTGGTACATTAGCTCAGCGGATAACGAGAGTCTACTGAATTTTTTAAAATGGCGAATCAGACTGAATAATGCAAAAACCAAGGCAATTCTATTTACTCGCAGGTCTACTATAACTGATCATTTCAAAATGAATAAATCTCGTATACCATAAAAATATAAAATACCTTGGGAGTACTCTATTGTTAGATTCGAAACTAAAGTTCGGATGCCATTTTGATAAACAATGTTTAAAGGCTATGACAAACCCGTAAGCAACTTGCGAAACGTTTTTAATAAAAAATTTAATTCAGAAACCAAAATTAATAAATTAACGTTATAACCCTAGTCTCATGTAATATGTGCAAGATGAACTATGGAAAACTTGAAGTACAGCTGCTCTCAGAATTATTTGTGGGCTTACTGGATGAACATGTTCCAATCATAACAATGTACAAACTATTAATTGTAATATTTAGTAAATGATTAACTGTATTTTTTCTTTTTTTCTGCATCGATCTGAAATTTGAGTCAAATGTAAATCGACCTCCGGCATAGGCTTAATTATGAGATTTTATGACACTCCTTCCTATACAATTGAAACAATAGATTTTTGTTTTCATACTAATTTGAATTATTTGTATTTTATAGGAAGCCAGGAAGACAGTTCAACTTTAACGAAAGAACCTTCAGGGGTTGATGGCGATCCCGCCACTGATTCTGTCAAAACCGCCCAGGTTGAAAGGCCGCTTGTGACGAGCAGAAACAAAGGCTCAGTTCTCGTCAACCCAAAGCAGGTGTGTTAAAATATGTAAAACACTTACAAGCCTGCAGTTCTGTTTCTTCTTCGTTGGTGTTTGAGCTGGTTTCTTCGGTGCGACTTTGCCGTTCGTGACATTCTTGCTGACATTTTTGTTCAGAGTGGAGATCTTCGGTTCAACTTTCAAAGGAACATTTATACTGAAAATGCCACGTTTCTGCCTTGTCATCACTTTCCTGTATAAAATAATTTACTATATAGAAAAAATGTTTTAAAACATCTTGAGTTTGATTTTTTGTCATAATTCAACATGCAGCCATCATTTCCTTGTTACAGAGGGGAAATCCACTTTTGAAATGTATATCCAACGTACCCTGGGAATACGAGGAGGGCATTATCCCAGATTATGTGATGGGAAGGACCACCTGTGCCCTTTTTCTCTCGCTCAGGTATCACAACCTTAAACCGGACTACATTAACAATAGGATCAAGGAACTTGGAAAGCTGTATGATCTCAGGGTTTTATTAGTTCAGGTAAGGATTAAAACAAAACTTGAATTTAAAAAATTCTGTATCATGTGTGAGTGGGATAAATCTGCTATTTACTTATTTTAATGGTCTTGTAGCAAAAATATCCTTATTATTTGAAAAATGGGGCAGGGTGATGTTTGTATAACAATGGCAGGATTTTATAGAAGATAAAAACTCGCAATTTTCACTTGTATAATTGAAGGGTGTTGGAAAAGAACCATTTTTTGTATGTAATGAGTTTTATGTGCCCTACTGCTGCTTCCCTGGACAGCTATCCCACATGGCCAAATGGGACAGTTTACAAGAACTAATATCTTTCCTTGAAACACCAGAGGCAAAATATTGCCAGCATCATCCAAATTATTAAACCTTGGACATGAACAAGTTAGAACTTAACTAATAGTAGGACTGCTGACTCCAGATGAACATTAGACCCGGAACAGCAGAAACAAGCCTGTGCGGATATTGCCAGGAAGAAGAAACAAAAGAATGTACTCTCTTGGTGCAAAGGCCTATGCAGGCTGACATCCCTACTCCCGTGATAAGAAAAGCCAAAGTTTGGAGTATACACATCTGATAAAATGCCTTAAGTTAATGAAGTGCTTTAGATTAGATTAGGCCAATATTGATCATGGAGCTTAAAGTGATGAAGGGGCCAACCTATTAGCCTTACATCAACCAACCCAAAGAAAGTGATGCATATGAAGATGATCCATCAATTTTCTCCTAATCTTGGGGAAAAGTGATTTTTGAAATGCTTCTTTTAAATCTCATCAAAAACTCATTTTAAATGTTCATTGTTTTAATAAAGGCAATTTTCTGAACAAATAATGATTTTTACATAATTTTTTTCATTGAACCTGAAATCATAACGAGTTGGTATACTTTGCATTTCATTTTTATTAATTTTCTCCCCCAGTGCCCTTCGTACTTTCTCTGCTTTACGGAAAAACATCATGATACGTAACCTAACCTTACTTACCAATAATAACCATTTCTTTCATAACCCAACCAGTCCCTAATACTTAAACCAACTTTCTCTAACACCTTACATAACCCAACCCATCACTAACACTTAACCCAACTTGTTCCTAACACCTAACCTAACCTGTCCCTAACCATAATCCTACTCAATGTAACCATTCCTAATTTAATCCAACCCATCCCTAACACATCACCTAATCCTACCCAACATAACCATACCTAATCTAACCTGTCCCTGACCCTAATTCTACTCAAAGTAACCATTCTTAACCTATTCTTACCCAACCTGACTCTAACCCTATGCCATGTAAATTTTCTTATCATAGCCTAACCCAACCCGCCCCTAACACTTAACCTAACATGTCCCTAACCCTACCCTATGTAACCATTTCTAACCTAACTAACCCCATCCATCCCTAACACCTAATCCTACCTAACTTAACCATTTCCCAGCTAAAACAGTGATTCGAAAATGGTCACATAAAGAAACCATATCCTGTCCCAAAACATATCCCAGTTAATTAGTTAACATTATAATTTTTCAATCAAATTAATTTTTATTTGAGGTCAATTAATATGAACTATCAACTAAACTATTAAATCAATGGGATGAAAAAAAATTCTTGTTTGAAATCAGGTTGATACTAAGGATCCAAATTATCCCTTGAAACACCTTACAAGAGTGTGCCTCTTAACAGATATGACACTAATTCTTGCATGGAACCCTGAAGAGGCTGCCAAAATAATAGAAACTTACAAATCTTTTGAATACAAACCGCCGGACATGATAATGGAAAAAACCGAATCAGATTCTCATATCAAGGTAACTAATTTTTAAAATAATTAGTATAAACTATGTTTATTTTTATTTGGTAATTTTTTTTTAAGTTGGTTTCTGCTTTGACTTCTATCAGATCTATCAATAAAACCGACGCATCAACTCTCCTGTCGAATTATGGCTCGCTTGAGAAAATAATCAAGGCGACTCAGCATTCGTTGGCTCTCTGCCCTGGCCTTGGCCAACAGAAGGCAACGAGGCTCTACAACGCACTCCACACCCCTTTTCTCAAGTCTGATAAAAAGCAGAAGACAGGCATCGCGAAATATTTCGACGTTTAAGATCCATCGTTACTTACGTCATTTTTAAACATTGCTACTTCAGCTCCACAAATCTGTGAGGTTTTGATACATCATTCGACCAGACAGAACTCTTCTTCTCTCCTGGAATTATGAGTTTTTTAAAATATTAAAATGATAAATATTTATTTAAAATAAGAAAAAAAATCTTGTCCAATAAATAGTACATATTTTTAATTTTAAATCTATTATAAATTGTATTTATTATTCTCAGGTATGTGTACTTATATGTAAATATTTCAATCCTGTGATGTGAGAATTGTTAATAAATTTTTCCAAGTTTTTGTAAATTGTATTTTAATCATAATTTTTATGCGTATATTACTAATTATTTATATCGGGTTGTCCGGAAAATAATGCAGGATTTTAAGTTTTCATTAAAAAAAATCTATATAAAATATTCTGTTTACGTTTACAGGATTACTCNAAATTATTTTGATTAAAGAACATTGCTTTAAAGTAACTAGTTTCTTTTTTTTTGTTTAATACCAAAATCCTGCATTATTTTCCGGACAACCCAATAATATTAATGTTCAATGCAGCATTTTTTCCTTAGGATTGAAAAAAAAAGTAATAAGTATTTAATTATTATTACATTTTTGGTGATGAAAATGAAAAGAATAAGAATGAAGTTTCCATGTGTTAAACAAAATCAATTGTTAAATAATTTAACTTACGCTTGTAGATCCTTGTGAATTGGTGTGGACATGTATATCAACAACGCGGGATGCATACAGGACAAGCTTTTGGAAAGGACTCGACCAATGAGACGCGGACAAATTTGTGTTGACTCTTCTTTGCATCTCATCGATGTGTCCCCCGGCCCGTTTTAGGTAACAATTTCCATATCAATTGTACTTGATACGGACAGCCGCCTCTTTCTGGACAGCAAACGTTGTACATCTATCCGATGATTAATAAACTTTGACGGTTTTACTCAATTTCAATCACTTTTTTTATTCTTGCATTTTCAAATTTTAATCTTGTATGACTGTAAATAAAACTTAGGGTGTAAACTAGTCTGGAATAAAATGGAAGGGATTTTTGACAAATGCATTTTATTTTTTAATCAGCTGGGTGAATAATCTTACAGCTCATTCATAGTTGCAGTTTTTATTAATATTTTTTTTATTGATTTTTCAATTGTAGACGGCTGAAAATAAAAGAAATTAGATATCTTATAGTTGATAAGTCTGCAGCAGTTATGTGGCAGCTCCTCTATAAAGCCACATTTCATAAACAAAATGATGTTTACAAACAAACAGCTGAGGATTAAACAAAATGTTTAAACATGGAGTTTGCAACGGCACTCCATATGAGTTAAATGTGGAGGATGAGACAAGAAAAGCTCAAAAAAAGTTCCAAACACCAAGGTTTTTAACAAAATGGTTGATTATTTCATCAACACCTTGTACTAAGCAAAATCATATTAAAAACAAATTTTTGTTAGCGCTAGATTTGTTAATTTCAGAAGAATAACAAAGTTTTTATCCTAAATAACTCAATAATATATGTAACGTTTATGTAATATTAAAAGCTTTTTTTATACCCAAGAAGGAAAAATAAAAATTAGGAAATTTGGAAATAAAGCCAACAAAGAAACAGCCTAAAATGCCTCATCAAAGAAAAGTCCTAAAAATCAAACGTTATTTATATATTAATTTATAATTTTTATGTAAAGCGTGGTTGTGATGAAAAATTAGAGTCACGAATGGGACTCAAACCCAAGACCTTTGGCTCATACACTGCTGCTGTAACCACTTGAGCTATTGTGACATCGGGCCCCAGGATACCAACTCATCAGCTCAACCTATAACTTTTTCATATTTCCCACTTTTTGCCATGTATTTATTATTTATATATTTGAGATAAGAGATAACAGGGAAATGAAACAGATAAAAAAAAATTGCGATGGTGATAAAATAGGGTCTGCTCAAAATGGAGAAGCCCACCAGAAAGCTGGGTAATTACATTGCAGAGTCAAAGATCCGGGTACGAGAATTAGAGGAGAGGATAGCGAAGTGAGTGGCACAGACCCTACTAGGACGATCAAGAAGAGAGGGCAGGTAGGTTAGTAATGAAGCTGCGAGTGAGCGGAAAACAAAGAAAAAGTTGGTTTCCTGAAGTTTGATGATTTTGCATGATAGATATATAACCTAACTAATTCTAACCCTGCCTAGATTAGAGGTGTCGGCCTTTTTATGACCTGCACGCCACGACCAGTGTTGGTCTGAGTCTAGCCCTCTCCAATTGCAGCAGTGAGTCTAGGTAAGAGTTGTTTCATCATAAGTTTACTGAGTCTAGTGCCGCTGGAGTATGGTATGGTGTGATAAAAAGGATACTAGGAAGCGGGGTTTGCTCTCCCCAGGCACTGCAGCCTTCTGGCTTATTGTACCTTCCTAATTCCTTAGTTCAGTACAATAGACTTAATCCTTCTCCTTAGAAGTATCAGGTCACTGACTGTCGCTGCTGCAATTTGATTCCCTAAATTTTTTCCTTATGCTAGGTTAAATCTCCATTGAGCTGTTGCTTCGCATTCGAAGGTGATATGGGTGGCTGTTTCCTCCTCCTCATTACATAATCTGCAAATGGGATCATCGTTGTATATGCAAAAGTTGTGTAGATGTTTTCTCAGATGGCAGTGACCGGTTAGTAGTCCTACCACTCCTCTGAGTTTGGCCCTCTCCAATTGCAGCAGTGCTTTTGCCATCTCAGTGAGGGTTGTTTCATCATAAGTTTACTGTGTCTAGCACCGCTAGAGTTTATCCAATTCTCCTTTTGTTTTGTTTGGATTCATTCTGCGATGGAGGATTCTACATTTGTTTTTGTTATCCCAAGTATAGGTTCAGGGCCTAGGTTTTGCTCTGCTCCTCTGGCCAGTCTGTCTGCATTCTCATCACCTAAAATTCCTCTGAGATCTGGCATTCAAGGTATCATCTGGTTGTTGTGTTTCCCCAGGTTTTGGAGATTTTGGAGCATTCACTGATTAATTTTGATGTGATTCTTTTACATGCTTACGTGCTTGGCTATCAGATCTTACGAGGATTTTTTTGCCAGTGTAATCTCTTTTAAGATTTTCCAGGGCACAAGCATTGATGGCATGTATTTCTGCTTGAAAGACCGAAGTGTACTTCCCTAATGAGTTTGATTGCTCATGTTTTGGGCTTTACAGAAAACACCTGATCCGGTCCCTTCATTCGTTTTGGAGCCATCTGTGCACCATATCATTGTATCTGATGCTTTCCTGTGTTCTTCCTCTCCTTTGTAGTCTGTTGAGACTTATTAGGAAGTTGTGAAGAATGTTTCCGGGACGCCGCTGAAGTTCTTCCACTTATCCTTTTGTTTTGTTTGGAGCCATTCTGTGAAGGAGGATTCTATATTTGTTTTTGTTATCCCAAGTATAGTTTCGGGGCCTATGTACGGTCTTGCAGATCTTCCTCTGGCCAGGTGACTGCTTTTTCGTTACTCAAAATTCCTTTGTGCCCTGACACCCAAGATATCATCAGGCTGTTGTGTTTACCTAGGTTTTGGATATTTTGGATGCATTCACTGACTAATTTTGATGTTATTTTTTTTAAATGCTAATACTTTAATGGCTGCTTGGCTATCTGATCTTATGAGGATTTTTTTTGCCAGTGTATCTCAAAGGATTTCTGGGGAATCTATATAATTATTAATTAATTTAAAATGAAAATAATCTCAAAATACTTTCTTCTGCTGCTAAGATCAGAAATATTGAAATAAGAACTAAGATTTAATGGGAGCATGAGAGAATTTAGCATTGCTATTGAGACAGTTTAATTGGAAATATAATGTATGAAGTTATTTTGAAGAGTTTGAAGAAGTTTTATATCAGCGTGGTAGTGCGGATTCCATATGATTGAGGCATATTCAAGAATAGGATGAATAAGAGAATCATAGATGGACATAGCAAGAAAGATTCTTGAACTGCTTGGTACTTTGGATGATGAAGCCAAGCATTTTAAAGGAACGATTTTTTATTTTATTTGATCGTCTGCTATACGAAAACAGGGATGGAATGGCAGACAAGGATGATCAGAAACAACTGTATTTTGATATTTAAACCCATTATTTCACGTACTTTATGTTTAACGTGTATAAACTAATCTTTCCATGCATAGGATTTTGTCAGTTCTTTCATAACGCTTCTCCTTCATTATGAATGATCGTTCCCACGACTAGCAATGTGATATCCTTGTCCGAAGGAATCCACGGACACCATTTTACCAAGGGGTAATCACTGCTTTTACGCCCAGTAAGTGAATCGAATGATACAAAGGATCTTTAATTTTTCTGTACACATCGACACCTTCACGTTACGATCACGATTTGTCGAAAAACAAACATGGTGTTATACCCAATTAGGTCGTGAAGACATGCCGGTTTTCTGGTATTTGGGAATCGTCTACGTGAGGACGCATACGTGGATTGAAGAGCATTCTTGGGACCCGAAGAAGAAAGCAAGAAAGGAAAATCGTCCAGGGTGTGACAGACGGAGGATTCGACGAAACCTGCACCGAATCGCATCCTGCCATTACATTCAACCGGTCCACATGTAAAATTTTTCATCCTTTGCTTTGTCCTCGACATCGGATTTCGTTGATACTCGTAAACAAAATTGAAACAGCGGACTAATATCTATTTTTCACCATTGCTAATGACCCTAATTCTACTTTAATAATTTTTTATTATCCAAAATACGAATAGAAGCAAACTATAAAAGAAAGAAAAATCAACAATGCTCAATCAACATATTAAAAATAAATTATGAAAATTGACTTATGAACGTAATAACAATAGGTAAGGCGCCGTAAATACAACGCATAATTTATCAAGGCAAAAAAGAAAATTTGCAAGACCGAAACGATGCCATGTTTGTAGAGATAAAATATAAAAAAAATTTAAGGATATATATGTATACCTCCTTATACCTATCATTCTCATGGTTCTCTCTCTCTCTCTCTCTCTCTCTCTCTCTCTCTCTCTCTCTCTCTCTCTCTCTCTCTCTCTCCCTCTCACACACACACACACACACTATCTAGTTAAAGACAGACACACACAA